ACTAGGGTACATAATTCAACTGTAGCCCATTCTTATTTTATGGGGTTGGTATGTCTTGTGTCCGGCTCCCAAATTATTTTTTTTTACTTTAAATTTTTTATTCACACTTGTCAACTATTTTTTTTTTAATCTCATCTTCCAACAATAAGCAGATGTGATATAGATTTCAGGCATGAGGGAGATGTATCCTCTTACCTTAAAAAAAATTAATCCAGGAGATATCTTAATCTGCTCATTTCATGGGTGTTTTCTGGAATACGTGTTATGTTCATGTTCTGTAAAAGTTTTTTTGTATGTCCGCGAAGTTTTTCAAGAAATCCAATGTATGCAATACCACATGTATGCGGAAGTCCGTATGTTACAAAGGGGAAACGGGTGGTGTTAAAATTCTTGATTGGAAAGTCTGTATGTTTTCAATCTGAATCCGTTTAGCTATTCCGCAGATTTATGATCTGTAATTCCATAAGTTTTTTTTAAATAAGTGTAAGCATTTAGTGTAAGAGAGAATAAAGAAGCCTTAGGAAACTGTTTAGGGTCAGTCGTTTCTGTTTAATGTGTAGCACGCAGGTCATACTCCTGTCGAATGTGAGTCCTATGTAATGTACTGTGTTAGCCTATTGAATGGGAACATTATTTATGCAAACAAGAGTACAGGTAGTGCCGGCCTTAGACATTCGGCACTCCCCGACAATGGCGTAATGTCCCCCCTCCTCCTAAAAAATTAACTTCATTTCATAACTTGCTCTATACTATGTAATATTTGAATTTTATTTCATTGAATATTTCTCTTTATTGATAGTCTAAAATTAATTATTTTAAGACATTTAGTATTTTTTTTTTCTGACAATTAAAATAGGGGAGCTCCCCTGAAGATCGGGTGTTGCCCCCAATGGGAGCGCCCTAAGACGCACTGAGGTGTCGTGTCGGAGTGTCCCGGACTATTTGTGTGAAGTGTTTTCAGACCATCAATATGAAAGTAACCAAACACGTTACAAAAAATTGTTTCAATTTCATGAGGTTTGACGTCAGTAGAATACAGAGCTAGAATTTAGATAATGTTGTTTCCTTCACAGGAACTTAATATTCTACTCCGATAACATGAGTAAAGAGATGGCGATCTGTAGTAAGATTAATATGTCACCAATGATAGGAGGTACGAATCTAATGAGTTTTATTCCAACACTGTTGCTCGCATCCAGAGTTTTATTCCAAGAACACATTGCAAATTGTAATGTTAGAGACTTTGTTTTTACACCACAAACATGAAGCATAAAGTGTAACTAACAACTCATACGCACTATCCTCAGGAGAAGCAGACACACAGAGACAAGAGACAAGTAAGAAGGGCAGAAAGGGAGTATTAAAGCCCAGGGTCCGGCCCGAGACAAAGGCGCCCCCTTGATTACTGCAAACAAAGCCGCCCTGGGTGCAACAAACGAAAACTTATGGAAATCATTACCCCCTTCCAACTCCTCCGCAGTTTTAATTACAATCGCCCCCGAGTCCTAACTCTTCAGGTATTAACCACCTTTTCTTTGTAGGCCAGGTCATCTGCTTTAATAACGAAACCTCTCGCCCGAACCGGCAACTGCCAGATATTAAATTTTTTTTCGGGAGTTGGCCGTCTCGAGTGCGAAGAAGTTTTAGGCGATCGAGTCAGAAAAAAATCTGGCAAATATAATGTACAGATGTAAACAAAATTGGCGGCATTAATGAAGAGCCAGTCTGGAAAGACTTGAAAATAACATAACCCTTTCTTGTTTTATTCTTATTTTTTTGACCAATTATTATTAAATTTATTAGCATGTGCATGTGCTCTCTGGACAACTGTTTTTCTTAGTTTTAGATGTGGCATGTCAATTATAACTGTTCATAGTTAATAGAATAATTATCGTTTTTGTTATTATTATTGTCTTACTCGTCTCTATATTTATCATTACTTATCTTTATGTTGTATATAGTTATATGTTGAAATTTTCTCTTTTTCCCTCTATTATTTTCAATAAGCAACCATTGTGATCGACCAAAAAATTCAAAAACTTAACCCCTCTTAAAATTCGAGGTTTCACGTTTCAGGATGCGTAGAATTCCAAAAACGAATAAAAAAATTTTTTTCCGTCCGCCGTCAGCCGTCCGCGCATTTTCTCCGAAACTACTTAACCGATTATTTTCAAATTAGGATATAAAATCAGAGGTCACCCAAGGATGATCCTCCTTCATCGGCATCAACATCCGCCTTTTACATTCAAAATGGCGGCCTAAAAACCAGCGTTGCTATAGACTGTACCTCCTAAACAAATGTACCGATTTCAATGAAACTTCGCTAAAGTCATTTTCTTGATGCCCTTTAAATTTATCTATATAACATACTTCAACGAAAAGAAGTTGGAAAAAAAGTTACGAGGGATGGTAAAATTAAATTCCGAATAATTCAAAAAGTTTACACTTGTAGATAATGTGATGTTTCAAAGGTATTTAAAATTTCCTTCAAAATGAAGGAAATTTCATCGAAATCAAAGCACTATTAGTAGAGATATCGCGATTTTTTAATATTTTTGGTTTATTATTTTCAATAATCAACTATTGTGATCGACCGAAAAATTGAAAAACTTCGACCGAAAAAGGTTTCGCGTTTTTTTTTTTTTTTTTTTTTTGTACATAATATTAATTCTGTATATACTTTTTTCTGTAAATAGACCACTAACTTGAAATAACTTTTTTTTTGGTTACTTTATAAAATCCAACCAAACTCTTTCACCTGAGCTAGCAGCACCTTTCACCTAGCATGTATGGATTTTATTATAGCCAAAGATTAATTAATGGTTAATTATTAATTTATAGTTTCTATGTTAGTCTCTTTGGAGATTAAAGACGAAAATAGCCTGGTGACCTACGAGCTCCCCATAAAAAAGTATACTTATTAAAAAAATATGTATCTTTTTATCTATCCTTTTTTGTTGTCATACTAAACGATTGCTAAATATACTAAACGATGTCTTAATCCATACTTCATTATAAGAAACATAATTAGGGTCTAGTCACATATCGCTTATCCAGAAAGAAAGAAGTATTGGTGGATACTGAGAGTAGACATAGGTACGCCCCTCTCCTTCTTAAAGAGCAAGAAAATTTATTTTTGGAATAATTTCATAATATAAGCTTCACATTTGTATACTTATCAAAATTAATTATAATTATTAATTAATTATAATAAATTGTATGCAACGACGAAACAAATTATTATGTAACAATAAGTTATTATCCGAATACGGCGAAGCTACGAGGAGGAGGGTTACGTATGTGAGTTGACAGCTTCCATGTATATATTGTATACATTATATATAATAGAAACGCAAGGGAATTTCATGCATAAGTGACAAATCCAAATTTCGATCCTTTAATCCCTGCACCGACTTTAATAAAACTATTGAAAAAATTAAGGGGCTTCAAGCAGTGCCCGCCTTAGACATTCGGCGCCCTCAGGCAGTGATGTCATAAAATAATAAATTTATTTATAAAATTATTTATTTATCTAATTAATTATCTATTTATATTTATTGATAAAATAATAAATTTATTTCTTAAGCACTCTTATATTATAAAAATATTTGAATTTTATTTCATTAAATATTTCTCTAATACAGTTACTTTATTGATAGGCTAGACTTAATTATTTTATTACGTTTGTATATTTTTTTTTAAATTTTAACATTTTAAAATACAATGCTAATAATTGTAACTACCATCATCACTGCTGCTCCATACAATATATATGTTGCTGATATATTCTCTTCTAAGTTCTCTCACAGTTTCAATAAAAAGTTTCTGAAGGTTGAATTTATTTTAAACATATTCAGAGAAGTTAACAAGACATCTCTGGGTCGTTTAATCAATTACTTTTTGCTTTATTAAACAAATTTCATTTTAGACACATATCATCTAATTAAAATGAAAAACATTATGAAGCTGATTTCTATTGAGTCTTATGGAATTGAGCTAGGTATATATGTAAGAGAGAGAGAACTACTAACCAAGGATCCAGTACACTAAAGAAATAGGTTTGGAGCAAGTACAATAATGGATAGTTATAAGTTTAAAAAAAAAAACATACAATGTCAGCCCCATTAGTGAATTAATTATGGAGCTTGGGGTATGGGATGGCGGAGCAATTAAGAGCATTGGTCACAGAGTACCTTGTTCTGAACGGTGTGGGTTCAATTCCCACCTGGGTTGGTTAATTTTCATTATTCAGCAGCCCCAGGAAATGAATTTTGACATTCTCACTCTTAGAAGTACGAGGCGGCACCCTCAACATTTTCAAGGGTTGGCAAAAAGGACGATGTTTAGCATATGCTGTTGGAATAACTGTTGAAGATACAATTCAATGGATGTATGTGCAAGCTTGAATAGCTAAGATTGAATTAAGATTTATAAAAGTTAAGGAGAAAAGTAATTAAACTGGTGTGTGCAATGACTCTCCAAGATAAAGAAGAATTAACCAATTTTACCTGAATTGTGATTGGAACCACTAACTCTTTTTATAAGTACTATATGCTACAATGTCAAAACTGATTCCTAAGAATGCTGAAATGACATTTTCGATTTGTGCCCCCCGTTTCATTCAAGGGATGTAATATGTTTAGGTGATGTTAAAAATGAATCCTTCATGAAAATAAATAAATCATGAATTCAAACTTGAAAAATGTCCTCTTGAAAATTTTTACTTCGCCAAATACAAGACACTTGCCTCTTTGAACCTTTAAGTTCTTGAAGTCACACATTGGACATCTGTCAATTATCAGCTATTCCCACAACCATGCAATATAATTTAAAAAAAAAAGTTTTGTATAAAAAAAATGGTTCATATTCTTAAAGAGTAATGGTATAAATAAAACATACTGTCAATAAATGTAAGTAAATAATAAGTTTACCCTAATGACTTATGTTTTTATATTTATAATTATAAAATTAGAACAGAAAGAATGAACTTTATTTTGTAACGGACATTTTAGTTTACAGAATGACTCTAATACTCAAGTCTCTTTAGACCTTCCAAATGCGCTTCTAAGTGTGGAGCTTAGCCTACGTCCCAGGGTATTTGTTTTGGATTCTAGGTTATCACCTCCCAGCTCATTATCATTTTCTTGTTTATTCTTCTTACCAAACATCTTTCCAAAGGACTTTGTTGATGTTCCTGATTCTCCCTCACTATGGATTCTGGTAGCGCTGAAGCTACTCCACACACGACCAAGACTTGAACTACCAAATACAGTAAATTAATTAGGCAATACAGTCCTTAAATAAATCCAAATAATTAATAATATCTGACAGTTTCGACTACTGCAACCAATGTTAATTAACAAATATCGGAAAGATTTGAGAAATAGATTACCTAAGCTGTTTTCAAAATAATAAGTATTATCTCAATTTATAAGAATAAGTTATTTTACCTAGTATATAAAGACAATTTTTCATTGAATTTAATGTCAATCCATTTAGAGCAGTTTTTAATTTTATGTAGTCAAATACTCATCTGTATGATTATTTTGTTAGCAATGAAAACAGTTATTGCTAAACAGAATCAAAGCAATGTGTTTAGAGTTGTTTCCTTAAATGAATACTAATGTATACCATATCATACCATTCTAATATGTTTTTTTTAAGGTGGGGTTTGAAAGGATCATGGAATTTTCAAGCTATTGGTGACTTAAACCCATAATAATAATAAATTATAAGAACAGTATATTTTTTTTTACAACCAAACATATCTTTACTTAATAATAGAAACGTTATATGAAAGAATCAAGTGTAACTTTTATTCTGATAAATTTAGTTCTCTGAGAATAATAAAAATTATCAATAGAAATTATATTTGTCTCACATAAAATGTCAGCCAATTTTCGAAGCTCTAAATTTAATGGGTTAATGAACCTTCCATCCATTTCCTCTTTGAATGTTTAAAATAAAACTTTTTTTGAATAATCAAACATATTATCATTTGTATTTCAAATTATTCATAAAAATAGTCAGGTTTTTGTTTTCTAACAAAAGAAGATTGGTCAACACTTATTTAATAATCAAGTGAAAAGTTTAAATTTACAGAATTCACCTCATGTTAAAATATAATCCTCTCTGTTATATACAGTAGAGGAACCACAAAATTTCTAAAAATCAGGTTAATAAAAAAAGTAGTGAATCTAATGAAACAAAGATTAGATTTGATAATGATGTAGAGATGGTTGACCGTTGATATGATATGAGAAGGAATTAGTCGAGGGTGCGGTCAAAAAAATAAAAAAAATTAAAATATATAAATAATTTTAATTTTTGCCGACGTTTCGACCCACTTTGCAGGTCGTCTTCAGGGCTACAAAAGATACAAACATGTTGAAAATATAAAAATAAAATAAAAAATAAATATAAGTATATATAAATTACGAAGAAGTTGTCAGATACAGAAATAAAAGATAAAGAAAATAAATACATGATAAGAAAATAGATAAAAGAAAATAAATACATGAATGTTAACGAATAAATGAATGTTAACGAATAAATAGATTGACAATTGAATAACTATTGTTACAGTAAAGTTATCCATATTTTAACTTTACTGTAACAATAGTTATTCAATTGTCAATCTATTTATTCGTTAACATTCATTTATTCGTTAACATTCATGTATTTATTTTCTTTTATCTATTTTCTTATCATGTATTTATTTTCTTTATCTTTTATTTCTGTATCTGACAACTTCTTCGTAATTTATATATACTTATATTTATTTTTTATTTTATTTTTATATTTTCAACATGTTTGTATCTTTTGTAGCCCTGAAGACGACCTGCAAAGTGGGTCGAAACGTCGGCAAAAATTAAAATTATTTATATATTTTAATTTTTTTTATTTTTTTGACCGCACCCTCGACTAATTCCTTCTCATATTAGAATTGATAATAATGAATGTTTTACCTCTGATTTTCTTAAAAATGTATTTATCTGCTAACGAATTCCTAGTTCATACACAAATTAAAGGAGTAAGCTGGTATTCTGCTAAAGTATGATTTACTTTAATTGTATAGCCTATAAGTTTCTTCATTCAGAAACTGAATTCAAAAAAATCCTCATGCATTATATAAAGATAAAATACCTTGAAACTGAGAAAACTCTGCTCAGTGACTTTCTCAAAGCTCGGGAAGTGTGTGATTTATCTTCATTTTTATTAGTTGAGTCATTTTTATCCTTTAAAAAGATTCATTTTTCTTAAATTTTTAAATGTTAAAACAAAACATAAATAAATGAGCATAAATTTGCTTTTTTACCTCTTCACTCTTTAATTTTGTCTTTCCAACTACTAATCTCTTCAATGTTTTTATCTTGGATTCTTTCTGTTCTTCATCTTGATTAGAGGTTCCACTCTCAGTTCTACTAAAAGTTTCGGGTAATTCAGGTGTTGTCGACTAAAAATTAATAACTCTTATCAGAAAGAGAAAGTGGAAGTGACAAACATTGTTAATAGTACTCGTGTATTAGCCAACCTGACATTTCGCCACTTTATATTTAGGTAAAAATGAAAAATCTTACGCTCAAACACAGATAATTTTTTTATAATTCAGTTATTTTTCTTCTTTTATACATTGTGAAAATTAATTATAATTTGGATTTACCTTCTATGAAGAAAAGTATAGAAGTATTTTAAAAGTTTGGTGATCATACACGCCAAACATCTACTTATTGAAAAACAGTATAATACGTTAAAGGTTAAGTTGAAATATAAAATTTAAATAAACAAATTTTATCAAGGAAATTTAATTTATATTCAGTTATTCATATGAAACACAAAATCTTCACTAATTTGTTGGTCGAAAGGCTAATACATAAGTAACCCGTGAGCTAATGCTAATAAATAAATATAACTAATTTCATAGATACATCTTAGTTATGAAACTGCATAAGATCAGAAATTTCTTTATCCGTCACATCATAAAGATAGGATCATTTTATTGTCTAAGAGAAGTTAGTTGGAGTGTCCACTAGTTGGACTAAAAAAACAAAGTAAAATGAAAGGCTTTAACTTTGGGCCAAAACGTCGGCAAAAATAAAAATAAATATCATTTATTTATTTTTATTTTATTTTTTTTTTACTGAACTCCCTAACCAACTTCTCTTCCAATATTCACTACAGTCAACCATCAATCAACTATTAAAGATAAGATCCTTGTTTTAATGTAATATAATACATAAGGACATAATACATATTCCCATGGATTTAAAAATAATGATATATAATACCCTAATGAACATTTGATATTATATTTAACATTATATTTCTGTTAGTTAGACTTTAGGTAACAGAGAACAAGTAACCTACCAATGAAGAAGAGGAAACAGAGAAAATCATTGGAGAAACACTTTCATAAAATCGACTGATTTCAATTAAATTTGGTATGAGTCTCTAATTGTATAGTATAATATAATAGTCTCTAATATAATATAATAGTCTCTAATTGTTCTCTAAAAATTTAAGGTTATTTTTTTTTCAAAAATTAATTGTTCAACAAAAAAAATAATTTATACTATTGTACCTGGATACCAATTCATACCCAGGTTTTATTTCATTAGGCTAATTAAAAGAGAAAAAAATATAATAGCAATATGTTGTTCAGTCATTTACTTTATGATAATTTTACTTAATTACAAACCACGCTATGCAGTTTCACTCATGTCAAATTTTATTTGCATATACCTATTTCACAGGGATTATATCATACATGATATATGATACACAATGAAGTACATAAAACTAGCTGAATAACATCCAATATTTAAAAAAAAAAAAAAAGGTCTGATTACTACTAATTTAACTAATTTATTAAAAAAAAAAATATTTGAAAATCGCGATATCTCTACTAATAGTGCTTCAATTTCGATGAAACTTCTTTTGTTTTTTAGGCAATTTAAATACCTTTGAAACATCTTATAACAACATTCCAAAAAAAGTGTACACTTTTTGAATTATTCAGAATTTAATTTTACCATCCCTCGTAACTTTTTTTCAGCTTCTTTTCACTGATGAATGTTATATAGATAAATTTGAAGGGTGTCGAGAAAATGACTTTAGCGAAGTTTCAATGAAATCGGTATATTCGTTTAGGCGCTACAGTCAATAGCTACGTTTTTATGCATTTTTATTTTTTTTCTCCTTTATTAACTTATCAAATTCTTTCAAAAGTTATATTTAGCATTTTTCTGTAACTCTGAATAGTGCGAAATAATTATCTTTTTAAAATAAACCATATTAAAGGTACTTTAGAGGAAGACGTATATGAACATTGGGCATTTAAGCCCTGTAATGTGACATCAATGGGGATAAGACCTAATTTATATTAAATACCACTTAATTATACAATGATACACCGAGTTTAATCAAAATCGTTAGAGCCGTTTTTGAGAAAACTGTGAAAATGTGTTTCAGCGTTGATATAAAGTGGCACTTCCGGTTAGCCGATTTTAAGGAAAACGTTGCCGTCACAACCAAGGCATATATCTATCTTAAATACGTGATATCAGTTTCATAGGACTTTTCGTTTTTGAGCTAGACTGCTAACATACAGACACACAGACACACAGACCATTTTTGGGACTTAGTCATTTCGACTCAGGGTACCTCAAAACGTATAAATCCGTCGAAAACTCAGATTCAAAAACTTTCTCGATCGCAATACTTAACACTTATTATATATTACATATATACGTAAGTGAAAGTAAAAAGACGTCTGGAAGTGACTTCAATTTGATTGCTTTAACAAAGTATTTTAAGAATGTTTTAAACTATTTAAAGAAAACTTCAGCATAAGGAATCTCTTATTTTGTTGAGTTTTTATTGATTCTATTTATTTCATTTTCTTATTCTTCTCGATTCAACAATGCTTCATTTGTAACATGATCAATATTCTCTAAACACAGTTGAAAATATTATTGAAGGAAGTTAAGTCGACTGTTCTATATATCATGGGTGATAAATATTCAGGATGCAGTCATTATAAAGTTTTTATTAGTGCCGACGTTTCTAGTCAAACATATGGGTCGTCATCAGGGCGTGGTTCAAGCACTGAAGGTATTCAAGTACTGACGTCAGTACACATGTTTGGGTTGAAAGGATGGCACTAATAAAACTTTATAATGACTGTGTCCTGAATATTTATCACCCATGATTTGAAAATATTTTTTTCTTTTTTTTTTTCTACTTGCTAGATCTAGGATTCCAATAGTTTAAAACAATCTCAAGCCAACATAAGGCTATTTTGCTAAAGAACCACATATAGTAAGTAGTTAAAAACGGCCTGTCCTTTTATATAATAGTATACATAACAATATAAGTGTAGTTAAAATGTCAAAATAATACATAACATAAGGAAAATTGATTGAGAAACAGAGGAAAAAAGATACTTAACTGTTTTGTCTTGCCTACTAAGATAATTGCCTATTTTTGTAATAATATGAAGATAAATACAATATTAAGGATATTAAACACATTTGTTGTTAAACGAAAATTGTGTTTCATATCCCATACTAATAGGAATTGAGATAAGATTTTAAAGTTTGTTTTTATTAATAAATAAAAGTTTTTCTTGAAAAGATGATTATGCCTATTGATTTTTAAAGCCCAAAAACTTTTGTTTAAAAAATTTAAGCAAATTCTTTACCAAAGATCTCTTTTGCAGACATGCAGTCAGATATTTTGTGTATTAGAGTAAAGGATAAAATCTACTATTTCAAATAATCAATTACTCGTTTAGAATCTATTAAATAATTACATCAGGTGTTGGTAACGCAATGTTTTCTCCTTCTGGTCCAATGGGTAGTGGATCCTTTGAAATTACGTCTTCTTCTTCAGCCTTTGGGCAACATTCTACATCCATAATTTACCAACACCCAACCCCTGTAAATAATTAACTTCATAGAAATATATATATTTACAATTTATTTTATCAAATTATTAATATATTTATTGAAATTTACAACTGTATAAGCTAAAAATTTAAGTATCAACTTTGACTTGGTAACGAATGTAGAACATGAAAAGAAACTACACATTGGTAGCACTCCAATCATAGCTCTATATTAGAAGATTCCGAGGCCATCTTCTTCTCAGACTCAGAAGATTGTTGAAGAGGCTGTAAGGTTCGATACAAGGTGGTTTGGATGGGCCTGGAGTTTGTTATGGAAGGATAGGTGTCTGGATTAGGTTAAGTTGATAAAATATGTAATATTAATGTAGTTATATATAATTTTATTTGTGGCAAGTAGGAAACACTGAGCATTTTGTGAACGATTTTGGGTTTAAGGATTAGATAAGAGAAGAATGGATGATTTAATGAAGCTCCAAAGCTCAACACCATAAGACCAAACAGGCCTTAGTATAGTCAAGTAAATGAGTCTTATATAGTTTAATGAATTTTTAGAGCATTTGTCTGTAAGTTTTGAAGTATAAATTATTAATTTAAATTGTATAAGTATCCCAGATAAAACAAAATAAATTTCTACCATCATTTCAAACTTTTCATTCAATAAGGTGTCTCTTCAATACAGATTTCCAGGTAACAGTGCAAAATCATATGAGCAGATTATAGTGTTAAAATTATAATATGGTGTAAAATTTATACTGTGCTTTAAAGTCATGTTTCTCGTTTCCATCATGGGAAATTGTAAAAATGTAGCATGGGAAGTCAAGATTTTAGTCAACCCATAACACTCAGCAAATGATAACTTTGATATTAACAGATTAATCTAAGTTGAAATGAGTTAACTTTTAAAAAGCAATGGGTACATTTTTCTTAATTAGAGAGAGCTGATGTTTAGATGTTGTAAAGAAGGTTTATTACTTTATAATCTCATGTGTTTTTTTATTTGGGTGAGAGGTATAACAACTAGAAATGTTTAAATTGAAGTCACTGATGATATTCTCAGTTTATTACAAATATTCAAGCCACAAATTAAATCACTAATTTATTTGATGAATTTCTAATTTCACTAAGTTGGTGTCTCTCAGAGTGCGGTCTTCCATGCTTTAGCTAGATTTAGAGAAACCAGAAGTAATAATAGAAAACCAGGTAGTGGACTTCAGTGCATTACGACACCTAGCAAAGATAGAAATACTCTAATAACTGCAAGATGCAACTCTTTTCATAGGATCTGACTAATCTTGAATGAGGTATAGAATGTTTTGCCAATGCCCATTTCAACACAGACCATTCATAATCATTAGTGAGATGTTAGGCTAACATTTTTCATTATATTCAAAAAATTAAAGCCATAATTGGCCCAGATTTCCCCTTTCTTGACGAAAATGCGCAACCCCCTAGGGGACCCCTGCGAGAGCAGCCTGGAAGCAGAGTTGAAGCTGGGAGTCAAGCTAGGACGGTTGGAGACTTGAAGTCGAGGACTTTGAGGAAGACAGAGGCACAGAGAGCATGGAAAAGAAGACTTGGAGGAAGACAGAGGCTGAAGAAGCAGCAGGGACAGGGAATCCAGAGATGACAGCTAGAGATACCGGCCGCCCCCCTCACCATGAAGAACCAGCTAAGTAATAACCCTCATTTAGTTATACATATCTAACTTGTGTTGGCAATCCTCAATCATTAATCATTAATAGAATAAATAGATCATAAGTAACTTTAATCAGGCATATCCAAACATAGCATTCTCCTCTAATATGATCCTCTTATAATTATTGTACATATATGTTTTTGGTTAATTAAGTTTATAAATATAGTAGTTATTAAATCATCTTAGTAATTTTACAATCTACCTTGCATGCCAATAGTAAATTTATAAACATGATACCTTTAGAAAAGAAATTCAATAAAAATTATATGGTTCAATCTAGGATACTAAAGTAGGGGGTCTGTGATATCTAACCTTTAAATACATAATTAATATACCTTTCAGTTGATCAGTTTCCTTTTGGAACTGATATGCTATTCCTGGAACACCTTACTCGCCGTAGAAATGCGAGGTCCAGGTACATAGCATTACTAATAAAACTGATGCTTCTATTTATTTATTTATTATTGCAAATGACCATCAAGATTTGATAGAATCTTATTCTGATCAGTATACCATTTTAAAGAAATCCATGTACAACTAATATTACAGATTTCTTCAAATTTTCATCTAAATTAAATTCTACATTGTGTATTTTTAAAAAACATTTTAATCTTCTCTGTATCAAAGTTTTTAAAAATGTTGCCTCTTCCTTCGGTGCTAATTTAGTAGTCTATTATCAGGTTTTAAAGAATAGACGAATGTTCAAGATAAAAGATTTTTATTTTTTTTGGCAATTTAGTTTTCATACCTCTCAGATGTATATCATATCTAAAGTCAGTAAGGAATCTTTTTTAATCCAACAGTACAATCAGTAAACTAATAAATATACTTTGCAATAACAGTCAATAGTGTAAATATTTTCAAAAAGAGACTAACTACCTAAAAAAAGAGTACACATTACCGATACATCTATGGTTATAACTGAGGAATGTTCCAAGTGGGTGCTAAATAAAAGGTAGCCTAAATACAGGACTACAGGTAGATATCTGTGAGAAATATACAGGCTCTCCACAGATCAGAAATTTTGAATATAAATTTTTTTAAATTATTTTAGAATCATCTCTAAGATATTCCCATTTCATTTAAGTTCGTATTTTTTTATAAATCTCATTTTTTTTTATTCGGGAAATCCATTTTTTTAAATTTATCCTAATCCTACTATTCATCCTTGTCTTTGAATTTAATGATTGCTTACAAACCTGAAGATTACATTCCACTGAAAAAAGAGGTTATTTCTCTTTCAGGAAAAAGAGATAAATTGAACATAGGATTTAAACAGTTTGAAAATTAAATGCTCTGAAATATTTCCGATAAGAAACAAGCCTAATAGAATTATGCAAGTCCAATTAACATCATCTATGAAGTCCCAAATACTCAATTTCATTTTGAAATCATATCACAAAACAAAATTAATGAAATTATTATTCATTTCTAATAAAATTTTACACACCCCTTTTTAAAATTTATCAACCTCATAGTGATAAAAGCAAGTAGGAGAAATCAAAGGCATACAATTCAAGAATGGATTAAAAAAAACAAAAAAACATATGTACAACAGTCCATGTTAAATTTGAATTAAAAAGCAAATCATACAAAACAGCATCAAATTTCTGTTTTAATAAAAATGCACAAGTTCAATTATTTGTGAAAGACAATACCAATAAAAAAGCTTAAATCAAAACATACTCACTTGTTATATTACCAGTCTTCTGTTAAAAAGAAATACTTATAGTATATTGACCAGCAAAATAAATACCTTTTACAGCATTATTCCTAAATGAATATTTAACCATGAGTATTAAAAACAAAAGACTAATATACTTTCAATGCCTTTCTAATATGTTTTTTTTTTTTCAGAAAAACAACATGTTTAAAAAAATATATGGGAAATGAAATAGTCAAGGCTAAGGTAATAATAACTTTATAATTTTCATTCAGGATTTCATTACAAGTTAACAAAAGTTATCAGAAACAAATGGTATATAATAATAATCGAAAATATATGTATTCATATGACTTGGAAACTAATCATTTATCTACTGGCTATTATAGGTTAATCAATAGAGTGATGAATCAAAACAAATTAGGGTTAAAACTTTAAATTGATCAAATTACTTTTTAATGTATTAACCATTACTACAAATTACAATCGTTTAAAGAGAATAATATAATCATAGTGGATGTGACTAAGAAATTATGGTGAACCATTAATAATTATTTAAAGTTTATAGAATTTTACTTACAATACTTACATTTCGAGAGCATTATACAACACCTAGGTATCTTAGGCCAATAAAAACCAGCAAAACCCCTATTATTGTCCTTCCATTAACCATTTTTTCAAGTAGATATCACAAAACTATAAAAAGTTAAAATAGTAATATAACTTTGACAAAAAAGTGTCGAAGAATATTCATTAAATTATTTCTTTACTGTAAACCAAACAATGGTAATTATATAGATAAGGACTGCACGGGTTATGCATGGTTTACAATCACTTCGGTCACACTTGTTCATAGAGTGCCGAATTCATCCGGGTTTATCCGAAAGACTGTTTTCGGTGTTTCATGAAGATGAAGTGTGACCTATGTGATTGTGAACTACGCCTAATCCATGAGTTCCTCATCTATGTAATTACCCAAACAATATAGGAAATGAAATATTAAAAAAAATCTTACACTGGGACAAAACAATAAAAATAAAAAATAAAAACTTCAGAGCAGTGTAGTTCGTAAAAAATATAAATATTAAACATAAGATGGAAATAGGATTAAAACGGAAGCATTTGTCCCGATTGGCAGAATTTATAAGACACTAAATTTTAAAGAAATTGTATTTTTAGTTTGAGCAAAAACTATTTGTTTCTTGTTGATATTTTATTGAAAATCTCAAGCTTAAACTGTATATTGTTAACATATCTATTTATAACATTGAGTTATTGATATTCATCACTGAATAAAAATTCTAGCTAGAAAAAAAAAAAAAAAGTTGACTGCCCATGTTAGTTCATTAAGTTACATTATCTCATTGTAGTAACATTGATTTTCAAGTTAAAGTGTTTGATTAAAAACTTATATTTAAAAATAAATTAACTGTAAAAACGGTTGTAGGCATATGTACTCACATTGAGAAGACTTATTTTTCCTTCCTTTTATAACATATATTTCAGACCATCAACCACAAGAATAATACCTATTGCATATTTAACACTTATATTCATGTTCACTGCTAATTTTATAGGTATATTTGGATTATGAACATATGTGTGAAATAAGTTATTAAATTCCAATCAACATGTGTACAATCTTATATTATTTATGGGTTAAATTCTGATTTTTTTTCTCGACCTTAATGTTCTTGCTAAAATATGAAGGTCATATTTAGGATAACCCATTCTCTCTAGACTAGTTTGAGTACATAACAGACTTCAATCCTAAATAAAGAAATATTTATTTCATCTCAGAAAGAGCTATTGCATCCTATCTCAATCTTATATTATTGATAAAACAGCTCATCTGAAAATGTGTTGAACAACAAAAATTGGATTTTAAATTATGGTTAGGTATGCAAGGCTTGCATTGCAAGCTAAGTTCTTATTTAAATTTTTTGTATATCCTTCAATGCAGTGTGCCTCACTCGTACTATTAATATTGTGATGCCAATAAAAAATGTCATTTAGAAAAAAAAAACAGAAAACCAGATACCGAGAGATAGCAAAATTTTTGGATATCCCATTTTGCCCTTGTATCTACGATATAAATTCCAAAGGTATTCTCAAAAAGTATTGATGCAATACATCAGGTATTATAATCGTTGATGTAAATTCAAGTATTTATTTGTTGATATTAATAACTCAAATACATTAAAATTATTGTAATGCATTAAATTATTACTAACCCTCGAATGACACACTAAGGTGTGACTCACTCCACAACATTTTAAATACTATTTTATTTTTATATAAGTAGTTCTTTGGCCAAGTTTTTTCATGTACATAAACATCATACTTAGCCAGACTAATTACGGTCATTAGCCCTCCATTGTTGGACTTATTACATTATTTGGAGTTACGGAAAGTCATTATGGTGTATCTAACAGCCCAGTGTGTTGTTTATCGGACTCTTCTGGGTGCCTCACACTCCAGTGTGCTGTCAATGTAACTGTTCTCTGAATTTTTTATCTCAGTGTTTTCTTTGTTATTTTTAAACTTCGAATAATTCAGGTATGGATTTCTAAAGTTCTATTTGTTAATTATTGGTATTTTCAATTCAGACATTCTTAGTACAGCAAATACCGAAAAAATGTATTCTTATTCTTAAGAAATCCATAAATTGTTATGGGAGTTAGAAGATACAGAAAGGGTGCAAGGAGCATATTAAATAAAGACAGTAAATTTTAAACTAATGTGTCATGTGTGCACAACATAAAAAAAAACAAGGAGATTGTTTCTCCAATTTTGCTTTGGAATGTTGAACCATGCTGGTATAAACAGTATTGTATTGTTCGGCTTCGTTAACTGGGATAAGAAGATGACATGGAGAAATTATTTATTTGGATTAGGCTATTCGTTACTTGAGCCCTGCTTGAAAGGAAAACTGTAAGTGGAGACACTCGAACGAACAATGAGTTTCAACATAAATGAAATTTTGAGAGTTGAAAAATAAACAACTATTGTTGAAAAAAATATTTGTTTTGCACGTTAGAGAAAAATTAATAGACAAAAATGGTTTGTTAGCATTGTGTAAGAGACCTATTTGCAATGAACACAGGGCAAGAGTTGGCTGAGATTATTGTTAGTGAGTGGTTACTTAAATGGCATCCACTATACGTTTTATTATCTTTTTAAGTAAACAGTTTTTTTATTCCTTTATTGTGTATATAGTTTACATTCCAGATATATATATATATTTAATTGATATAAACTTGATGTATTTTCAATGGAAAAATATTGATCCTTTTTGATTTTTTAGTGATACAGATGTTAACTTTTTATTTTATGTGAGCATATAAAATATATTATATAACGTTACCTTGAATTTGTTTTTTTTTTTGTTGTTTTTTTCGTGATCATTTAGCTTATTTTTGAAAACTACTTGAATTTCCCAGAGCATGACAATTAAATTTTATGATAATTTAAAGTTTGGAGTGTCAGAATGAGTTGGCATATGTAAGTGTGTCATTCTAGTGTTAAATGTTTTAGATTTCTACTAGTGAATTATCATATATCAACTCTTATTAGTACTTTACTTTCAACACTTGAAATAAAATACCAAAGATGTTTTAAACACTATTAGGGGCAAATAAAGATTACAGTTATTAAGAAATTAAATTGTTTAAATTCAAGATTTAATATGTAATTAACATATCACTTTAACATTAAAATATATAAGAACTTACATCTTTCACTGGGAACTTCTAAAAGATTATTTTCTGCTGTATCTCACAGAACTAACAGTCATACCAACTCATTGATGCAAATATTAATTATCTTTGAACGTTTAGCATTTCCAAACAAAAATTAAATAAATGATTATCTATATAAAGGCAGTGTTGAATCAAATTAAATATATTTCTAAAATATTTTTAAAAATCCTATATATGTAAATTTAATATCGAAAGTTATCACATTCCATTGGATCAATAATAAATTAAATATTGCAAAATATTCAAAGGATTAAACATAATTTGATTAGCAGAGTCAAATTTTATTTAATATACAAACTTAATATTTAAATTTCTGCTCCAATATGTAATCAATATTTTCACTCATATTTTAAAATCCACACCTGTTAATTACAAATATAAACAATCAGCAGATGAGAATTCGATAGGAATATGGGAGAACAATAACCAGCTGCACCCCTTTCGCAACTTCAATCTACTTACTAATCTAAATAGGACTCTTATCCATCTTTTCGTATTCTTGGGTATATCTTTGTGGTCATTTATTTTATAAGCTTGTTTGAGTGTTCCTTCAACTTACGGAATCGTTTGTAGTATGCCCGTACATATAATGGTTGCCGGCAACTGTGTCAGGTAACTCAATTTGTTAATGCCAACATAAACTTACATTGGTGTTTTATCGATTAGTCATTATATCTTGATAGAAAAATTGTAAGTTCTTTTGTGTGTCAGATTCACAATTCCGTATATTCGTAGTCTGAAAGTCTAGACAGGTTTTTAATATATCTGCGAGTGTGTTTGTATTTATATGTTACAAAATGGTTTCTAATTGTTTTATAAATGTATGACTACTTACTTCTTTTAGAGCGAATTTTTAAAACAACATTTTCTGATGAATCTCAAAGAACTAACAGTCATACCAACTCACTAATGAAAACAATAATTACCTTCGAAAATTGAAATGGCTTGATAATAAAAACGTAGAATATATCAACTTAAAATTATAGAATATGATTATTCTATAATTTAAAATTATTATTAAATACTATGGTATGCACAGACGGATCTACGGAGGGGGGGAGCTTTCAGGCTGAAGCCACGCCCCTCCCCAAATGATAAAATATTACCGTGTCTTAAGAAAAAATCTGGTGCGCGCAACACACAACTTTCACTTACCGCTCTACTTTAAAATGAAATTATTTTCTGGCAATGCTGGGCTATTATAAAATTTTTTGAAGTGCATTTAAAACGGAGCTAAAGCTTAAAGCTTACAGATAACAAGTCATTAAGACCATTATAATTACAAAATGTCTATTTAATATATCGACGGTAGGCAACAAAAATCTAGTCACTCCATCTGCTTTTATAAACCACACAACTTCCTTGGCTGTTATAAACCACAGAAGGACTAACTCCAATTTCAAAATTTTTGAGTAATGTCATTTGAGTGATATTTTTAGTTGAAAAAGTTATCTATGCAGACAGTAAGTTGATTCCAGAGGTGGTGATTGCAGTGTTGAAATATAGAACTGAGAATAAAGGTATAATAAATTTAGGTACTTATTTCTTATGAAAGGTCTTCTTAGAAAAGATACCTGATTAAATATCTTTAGAAAAAAAGTTTTTTTAGTCTCAACAATTAAAAAAGTATATTTTAAATTTATCCAAATTTTCGCCTCTTCAGGGAAAAAAACTAGAGACCATATCTTTGCTCCTAATTGTGTGATTTTAATGAATTTTTTGTTGTTTTTTTTAGAAAATTCTATAAACTTTAAAAAAAACATATACAATATTCACAAAAAAGAGTATACTTTTTGAGTTATTCAGAGTTTAATTTTACCATCCCTCGTAACTTTTTCTCCAGCTTCTTTTCGTTGAAGTATGTTATGTAGATAAATTTAAAGGGTGTCAAGAAAATGACTTTAGCGAAGTTTCATTGAAATCGGTACCCTCGTTTAGGCGCTATAGTCTATAGCAACGCAGGTTTTTCTGCCTTTTTATTTTTTTTTCTCCTTTATTAACTTATCAAATTCTTTCAAAAGTTATATGTAGCATTTTTTCGTAACTCTGAATAATGCGAAATGATTAACTTTTTAAAATAAACCATAATAAAGGTACTTTAGAGGAAGACATATATGAACATTGGGCATTTAAGCCCTGTAAAGTGACATAAACGGGATAAAACCTTAATGATATTAAAGACCACTTAATTATACAATGATACACAGAGTTTAATCAAAATCGTTAGAGCCGTTTTGGAGAAAATTGTAAAAATGTGTTTCAGTGTTCATATAAAGTGGCACTTCCGATTAGCCGATTTTAACGAAAAAGTTACTGTCACATCCCGCTCATATACAAACCTTAAATACTTAATATCAGTTTTGTACTACTCTAAGCGGTCCATGGGATTCAGTAGACCTTAATGTGGCCTGCGGACCAAAATGTCTGGAGACCCCTGAACTTATAAATCAACATTTTAAATTTATTTATTTATAAAATAATTTGAACATAGAAACAATAATTAATAAAATAGAAATACAGAAGATGTTGCAACAACTTTTTTTATTTTGAGCAGGTACATGAAACTAAAATTTACAATTTTTATGTTCGGAACCAAAACATAATCCGCTACTTAGTCATATCTTTTAGAATTTTGATAGGATGGTCATGTAATTTTCTAACAATTCATTCAATTTATTCAAATGTATGGACACATTCCTGACCAAAGCGCTAATTTATTGATTTCTTATGCTTATCAATGATTTTAGTGTGGGCTTTAGGAACTTCGCCACTGTCACATTAATGAATTTAAGAACTGCCTGATAGATTTCCGATGCTCATCAATGAAATTTAGGATCTTACCTATATCAGCTTTGCAAAAAACTGTCACGATTCTGAATTAGAAGTAGATTTAAAATTTTCTAAAAACCAATAAAAAATTAAGTCCCGCTTTTTTTCTTGTTTCTTACTTTATATTCCAATTATTTATTGTAGTCCAAACAACTGACTCTCAGCTTTTTATTCACAGCTATCATAAAATAAAACATCACTGTTTATATGAAAATTGCCATTGCAAAATCCGTCAATGCATTTAGATATTAGCGCTTTAAAAGTTGATTAGACTTTTGTCATTTTACAGTTTAAACAAACTAAGATCACTAGGATACATATTGACATAAAATGTTACATATTCTGGATAGTAAAAATGACTTCAGTAGACCATCATAAATCTAATTAGATAAAATTTACAATATCTTAAATTCAAAAATTTCTTGTTTTTTATTGTTCAAATTATTTTAGCACAAATTTTATTTTTTGATTAAATATGAGTGATAACATGTAGATATCATCCAAATATGTAAAATAAGAGAAGATTTATTCACTTTTAAATGATATCAAATGTAAAATAAAATGTCGAAGAAGGGTTTATAAAATAATATGTAAAAACATATCAGTCTGATGCAAAAAGATATTTGTCTGAGCTATTCACACAAAAGAGATAATAGCATAAATTCCCTACCAAGTAGTATATAGTTATGTAGGAAGGGGAAGTTATGTAATAAAATAATATTAATAATTGTGACAGTAAATAAGTCACTACATGAATGATTTTATCATTCATTAATGGATGCAAGAGTGGATATCCATGCATCATTGACATGACTGAAGGATGGTAATATGTTTTCAGAAACTGAAGGGTTTCTGCTAACTATCCAAGAACAGGTAATAGCCACAGAAGCATACAGAAGTCAAATCTATGGGGAGGGTACCAGAGATGTCTGTTGCTTAAGCAAAAAGGCAGTCGAATCAATACATCTGTCATCAGGGTGTACAATACTTTCAGACACAACAAAGCGACTAAAGTAGTCCACCAAACCATGGCTCAGAATATGGAATTCATAGATTATTATTGCCCATAAATTCTATCTGAGCTAATCATTTCAAACTTAACACTCACTGTCAAGCTGTTCAAGGATCAACTAATATCACTAGCAGATCCAGAATTTAATTTTGGGAGGGGGGCTTCAGCCCGAAGGATTTTTTTTCATATATATATAACGATAATTAATTTGAAAAAAGAAAGAAATAAACTAACTACCCATATGACATGGTGTCTTAGTGATTCTGGAAGTCCTATTGAATGTAATTACATGAACAATAATACTTTAAGAGATAGTTTTTAATATTTTTTTCTATAAAACATGGTTATATTTTACCATTTTGGAGGGGAGGGGCTTCAGCCCGAAATCCCTTCAATCTAACAGTAAATTCTTCATTATTATGATGGAATAAGTTATTAACTTTAATGAAATAATAGTTGAGGTATGGAAAATGAAAGTAAAAAAAGTAAATCAAAAAGAAAGATAAGGTAATAAAGTTTTTTGGAATAAAATATAGCTTATTATAGAAAAATTAAAAAAAAAAAATTCAAAAAGTATATATAAAATTTATATTCACCAAAATAAAAATGTATTTTTGGTTAGATCATTTCTCTTTTCTAGCTTTTGCTCTAAAAAATATTGACAATACAATTTGACCTCTTAGAATACATATATATATACAATTTCTAAATACAGATCGTAGTTCCTTTTATACTACAACTATGATATATCACATACATACATTGTTATTTTAATACAATATCACGTTACACAAGTAAACCATTAACAATGGCATTTTTATGCTAGTTCAATATTGCAAATATACAAAAATATACATTTTGATAACAGATATAACAATTGACACAAAATCGTTTGATTTATTTTGCACTCTTAAATAGCAACGCTCCAAAGTGGTCGCTGTATATAATTTACAACTTTAAACAAATATAATCTGGTAACAACAACAATTTGTAAACAATTTACTTTTTTGGGGGTAACAATTTTTATTCTAGAGTGGTCCAATATTAAATTTTATAAAAACATTAAATTTTTAAAAGGTAAGACTTGCGAATATTACATAGGTCTTTGTAACTTATGAAATTATATGCTTATAATATTTTAAAAATAATAACATAAGAAATGCATATAGGTAATAATAAACAATAATCATGGCAACATTTAAAATAATAGCAAAAACCTGTTTATACGTCGATATAAATGATTAATAAATTTTTCAACCAAAACACAGAATAATGGAATGGTAAGAGTCTAAATATTGAGAATAAAATTGATTGAATTATAATTAAAGGCACTAATGAAGAGACCAGTGAATATTTAATACATTTCATTTATAGCATTATATTTAGTACAGTAAATATATATATGAGGCTAAATTTCCTAGTGACAGTTTACTTATACGTAAAACAATAGAATAACACAAAAATGCGATAATTAAATCTGAAAGGTCTGGAAATAATATTTAAATGGAAAATAAAGTCATCATTTTCATATTTTCCAAATTATAATCACAATTTAAGAATTTAGAAAGCACAAATTTAAGGAAATTTCAAAATGCAGAAGAAAAAATAAATTAGTGATAGCGAACCAATGGCACTTGTGTTAAAGGCGATCTACCAAGACAATTATTAAATCTAGGAGATCATCGTTCAGAGATAATCTTCATGATGGTTTGATGAGCTTAATTTGCTGGTGGCAAAATCAAAAGTAGAGGGTTCTCAATTGCCAGGGTTCCTTAGAGACGGGATGTACAACTTTTTTTTCCACATATTTCAGAAAAACATTATTTTCGGAATTAAGTAATGTTTAAGTAAAAGAAGAGAAGATAAAAGGAACCTAATTACAAATGAATCTAGTAACACTTGCTTGCTCTAAAGTTTTAAGTCAACTTTTTAAGGTTTGGCAAATACCAGAAACAAAACTTCTTCAACAAATAAATATTTTTTTTTTCTTTTCAATAAATAAATATATCAAAACTTCTTTTTTGTTTTATCAGTAAATATCACAAAAGCATGTACTATTCAATATATGACAAGGCATATAAATTATGTTTGTTCTCATTCTTCAACTAATTCAAAAGGTTCACCATCACTGTCCTAAATCATTGATTTATTTATCTTTTTTTGTTTTAATATTTAAAGTAATTTATACTGGATCATTGTTATATCAGTAAAGACATATTTTTTTTAAATATGTGGTAAAATTTAATGTTATTTATTTTTTTGGCTACTAATTTATTTAAAGTATTTTATTTATGTAAATTTTCTATCAAACATTATAATTAAGTACAAAAGAAAAAAAAATTGAATAATGTAAAAATTTATCTGACCACTAATTAAAATATTTTCAAGATATTAAAAGAAATTTTAACAAATGATTTTATTAATGAATAAAAAAAGTATGAAAAAATCGTTAAATAAGATACTAATATGATAAAGGACGGATTAGCTTTGAATACTAAATATTACTTAAAATTACCTAATTCAAATTAATACAACTTATATTACTCACATAATTTTAAAAAAATACTCCTTAATACATGCAATACTATTAATTTTAATTAATAGAACAATAAAAAAACACGAAACATCTAATGAAATAGATGTGTCTATTCTGTGCTTTGAAAGAAATTCATTTACCTTATTTATGTAACATGCACAGGTCACATGACAAAAAAAAAATCATTTAATAGGTCTCGTAAAGTTACATATATGTATAATATTAAATACAACAACAAAATTAGCATAGTTACAACAATGAACATGTCGAAGGAATTAAAGAAAATTAAACAAAGTACTTTACAAAATACTAAAAATGGATCAGTAAGTTGAAAATGTTTCGCTTATTTATCTTTAATTCCTGAGTTTCATATTCTCCAATCACAAATGTAGCTTTTGAGAATTCTTAGAGTTCCTCAGACTTTTAAATAAGATTTCATTTTTAGGTAGATCACATTCCTGATTCCGCTATCCCTTCATCATCTGAAATAAGAAAAAGTTAATTATTTGCTGCTACATTCAGAATTTTTAAATGCTAATGGACCACTGTGAAAAAAACTGAATAAAATTAGAAGTTTACTATAAAATTGGCTAAAATACATTAAAAGATATAATGTATATAAATTAAATATATTAAAAAATCTGTAATGTTAAATAAATGAAGCATATAATATAAAAGTCTTCTTCAGAGAATAAATCATTTCTTGAATTTAGAAACAAGAAAAAAAAATTTATAAAAGGTGAATGAGGAAAGGCTAAAATAATAATTATTTTCAATTAAAGCATTTGCATTAATATAATTTCCAAGCCAATAAATAATACAATGATAATGTTCAATATTTCTAATTAAAAATTGAAATATAAAAAAAAATAATATTATGATATAATAGAATAGACGGGGTGGGGGGGAAGGTATGGTAATAATTTAAAGATGATGTATTTAATGGTTAGGACTTACAAATCAAAATAATGGGACAGTTTTGCAGGTTTAAAAAAAATAAATCTCAGCAACATATGAAACCAAAAATTAAAAGGCTATTTAACCCTCAGAACACAGATTCTTACATTTTATAGTTTGTCAGTCAATATAATTTATAGTTATGACTATCACAATACACATTCATAATTAAATGGTATTTATGAAATGGCTATCCATTCACTTTTAGTAGCATGGGAAATCCAAGCTTTTCTACATTGAAAACCAATTAGCAAATTCTTGGAAAAAAATAGAATTAAAAAAAAATAATCAAAACTAATTAGTATATACAAATATTAATGTTAAATATCACAAAATATTATTTAAAAAACAATCTAATCTACTAATGCTTATTTAATTAGTCCAAATAGGTCTAAGGTTCCACATTAGCATTCTATAAAACCAGTTTCTATCAGGCTTGAAATCAATGTTTAACTACATTTAGTAATAAAAATTCCTTTGTTAACATTTGACTGTCATCGGCCACTTTTTTTCTTTTAATTTGTTACTTAATCAATTAAAATAGACATGCATTTGACAAATACCATGCTTCAAGTAACTACATGCAAGATTTAACAAAAACCTACAAACTTTCACAAAACAAAAAACAACTAATTTCAATGGACATATTACAAGGCAGTACAATCAGATAATTCATATATCAAAAGAATAAACTGAAAGGAAGAGTATCTGATATTTCCTGATTTCTACATAAGTATAACCCTTGTATCAGAACCCTAAACACAGTTTATCCTTTTCCTGTCTACTTCCATGGATATAGTTCAGTTTCAATCATGTTTATTAATCTGGGTTTTATCTTTACCAAACTGTAGTACAATTGCAAATCAAACATCAAGAGGAACTTTTCTATTATTTTTAGTCCACAAACTTTGTTAGTAATAACAACACAACATGGAATTACAGAGAAAAATATACATATAGCCATTCCAGCAAAGTATATATACTATTGCTTAAAGCAAAATAACAGCATATAAACATGTTCCCAAGACCTAATATTAAATACCAACACATAACAAATAGGTATGCATGCAAATGTGGATCAAACAAGCTAAAATAATCAAAAATTTAAAAAAGGGTGCCTGGTAATAGATGTAATTATTTTTACTGAAATTTAAAACTAATTCAGATTAATACGATACGTCATTGACCAATCGAAAAACTACTCTGATGTTCATACAGTGAATATTATCATAGGGTATTATCTTTCAAGATCAATCCGTTGATTACCAGAAATTAACTAAGTTTGGAAGTTGCAGCTTATAATGGAGTTATGAGTAATGAAGATGTTTTAAATAAATTGTTTTTGAGGTACTAGATTTGGGAGAATGAGAGAGGATTGGATTTGATATCATCAACAAAATGATGTTCAAATACACCTAATTATAGTAATGTGGAAGAGCATTTACTGATAAATCAGAAGTTTAGAGCATTTCCTCCAAAAATATACAATTACTAAGAGAGGATAAACAGCTAATCCATTTGAAGTCTTATACAAGATTTTTTTTTCAATTTCCTGATTAGATTTTAAAAATATTTGATGGGAATAAAATGAAGATTACTGAAGGACAAGGTGTTATAAGTTTAAAATAAATAGATTTGCTTATAGCTTTAATTACAATTATAAAAGTAGCTTTAATCTTAATAGATTGTGAAATAGTTGTGATATGGTATAGGTGAATCTGGGCTGAAATAAAACCATGTACATTAATAACAAGTGTCAAATGGGATCAATAGGACTTAAAAATAAAAGATAAAACAGTAAAAGTTAAGAAAATGCAACTATTTTCTTATAAAAATCATGCAATTGGAAAAGATCAATGCAGTCAGTGTAAAGTGAATTAAAATCATTTTCCTCATAATGCTATACTAATCATTATTTTTTTTAAAATAATTTTATTTAATGCAACCTTTACCTAGCAAATGCAAGATATATTGAAAAAGTAGCATACAAAAAAAATAAATAATCAAGAAAAACAAAAGTGATAGCGAACAAATAAAATATTTTAGAAATGAAAAAACAAGAAGGTGAATGCAGAAACAACCAGACGACAAGTTTATATACAAAATTTTACCCCATCACCGGTGTTTTTCTCCATTGTGCAAGTCTGGAGAGCTCACTCCACTGTCATTGTCTTTTTTCTTACCTAAAACCATCACCTCTGTCTAAATTTCAACAACCTTTCGTTTTTTATAAATTCAACAAAAATCATGACTTAAAGGAAAACAAAAGATAATTTCAAACATATAAAAAATATTCGTATTGTTCCAGAACATCGCAAGGATATAATTATAACCACTAAATTAAATATTTTAAAACAATATTTAACTCAATTCAATACATTAAAACCATTAACCAGTATTTGATTAATCATGTTCTTATTTGAGAAGATACATAAAAAAAAAATTATTTTACAAATTTGAAATTCGAACGATTTTATTTATATTTTTCAACAGTCCAAATTAATACCTCAAGAATAGTAAATCATTTTTATAAAGTTTATTTATAATAAGTAAGTAATTTTGTTAGTACATCTAATATTAAACAATGGTCCAATTGTTTTTTCAATAACTTTTTTTCCTATTCCAATATTAATATATCATCATAATATAATAAAAATAATAAATGTAATTTCTTAAGTGGATTTTTTTTTTTTTATCGTCTACAATATATATTTTATTTATATAAATACAAGCTTCTTAATAATTGTTTTTTAATATGTGAGTTTTCATATTGGACTGTGTCTAAACCCTTAATTCATACTTTTATCAAGCTAATACTGTATGTCAGATTTACATCCTTATTAATTTAATAACACAATTTGACTCCTCCAGAATTCCTATAAAGACCATTCTACCCCAACACCTCCTTAACCTAATCCGCACCAAACGCCGTGCCAGATTATTATGGCAACGTACCCGACATCCTACCGACCGCTGCTCCTATAATTACTACTGCAAACAATTAAAACTGGAATTAGCCACCTTCAGATCACAATCCTTCAACTCCTACCTATCCTCCCTCTCTTCTCGCGACAATTCCCTTTGGAAAATCACAACAAAAATCCTAAATCCTCACCGCATTTCCCATCCTCTCCGACGAGGTGATGGCTCCTGGGCAGCATCTGACGAAGATAAAGCTGAGGAGTTCGCCATTCACCTATCCAATACATTTATTTCACATCCGGAATCCCATCCTGCCCACACCGTAACAGTAGAAGAACTCCTTACATCACCAATCCCACTTTCCTTGCCCCCAAAAGCTATTCATCCTTCCGAAGTAAAATTTCAATTAAAAAAACTAATCCTCCGTAAAGCTCCTGGACATGATCTCCTTACACCTCAAATCCTTCGACAACTTCCATCCAAAGCAGTCATATTCCTTACATATATCTACAATTGTATCCTACGCACCACCCACTTCCCTCTGTTATGGAAACACTCCACTATTATCCTTTTCCCAAAACCAGGAAAACCTCTCAATAGCTCAACATCCTATAGACCAATCAGCCTACTCCCAATCCTTTCAAAAATTTTTGAAAAGATCCTTTTGAAACGAATCCTACCCATTATAGAATCCCAAAATATCCCTTCCCATCAGTTTGGTTTTCGCTCTCAACATTCTACTGTTCAACAAGGACTCCGAGTTGTTGATCATATTTCCTCAGCCCTAGAAAACAAGGAATACTGTTCGGGTGCCTTTCTGGACATTGCACAGGCATTTGACCGGGTATGGCACTCCGGACTGCTCTCCAAGCTTAAAATCCATTTACCTCAGTCCTTGTACCTAGTCCTCCGATCCTACCTCTCTGACCGCTCCTTTCGAGTTCGCTGTGGAACAGAATTTTCCAATATCTACTCCGTTAAAGCCGGTGTTCCCCAAGGCAGCGTCTTGGGTCCCGTGCTTTACATCCTCTTTACTGCTGACATCCCTGTTCATCCCGATACTTTTCTTGCAACATTCGCTGACGACACCGCAATCTTATCATCCAACTCTGATCCCGAAATAGCATCCTTAAATCTCCAAAGTCACCTCACCTTGATTGAGCACTGGTGTAATAACTGGCGCATTAAAGTTAATGAATCTAAATGCCAACATATTACCTTTACACTCCGACGCAATTCCTGTCCACCAGTACTCTTTAATTCCATCCAGCTTCCTTATTCAGACACAGTCCGGTATCTTGGCTTTCATTTAGACCGAAGACTAACTTGGAACCCGCATACTAGACTCAAAAGACAAGAACTCAACCGACGATACGGCCAACTATACCGACTACTAAGCAGAAAATCTAAACTTTCCATTGAAAACAAGCTACTGATCTACAAGACAATACTGAAACCTATTTGGACTTACGGACTAGAACTGTGGGGATCAGCAAAATTTTCTAACATCAAGCGCATCCAATCCTTCCAGTCTAAAGTCCTTCGAACAATAGTCGATGCTCCTTTCTATGTATCCAACAAAACCCTACATCATGACCTTAACATCCCATTTGTCCTAGACCTTATCCCAGAAAAATTCTCCAAATTTCACCAGAACCTTACTTACCACCCAAATCCTCTTGCACAATCCCTATCAAGCATCTCCCATCCCTATAATCCTCCAAGAAGGTTGAAACGGCAGTGGCCTCGCGACCTTTTGTAGATTATATAAATTGGAGTTCTGGCAATGGCCAGATTCTTCACTCAAGACATGTGTGTATGTGGCTAAAGTGCTCTCGACCAATCTCCGCTGGCTTTAGTACCAGTGACGCGGTTGGAAGAGTAGCGCAGGGTTCTCCTGGAGTTCCCTCGCCTGATTGTATATAGGTATGCATGTTATTTTTTTTTTTTTTTCCTTAGTTTTAATTTTCTTATTTTTTAGGTTATTTTATTTTATTGTCTATTGTATATACTTTTGATTATTATTTTGTTCTATTTATTTTATTTTTTTGTACATATGGTGTGAATGTCATCCTACCTCACTATAACCAATGTCCAACAGACAGATTGTTATAATACTCAATAAAGAAATTTAAAAAAAAAAAAAAAAAAAAAAAAAAAATAACACAATTTATTTTACATGTTCATATTTCATTTTGCTTATAAATATATAGGAGGCCCCTGGTCTCAATTCATTCACCCCTCTCACAGATAGCGGTGACGTTATTACCAGCAGAGATTAACCCATGTAAGCAGCAAGTGTCCTCTTCCCCATTCTGCCTCAATCCACACAGTAAGGGAGCAAATTTCTTCTTTCCTAGGCCCAGAGGAATCACTATTTACAGGCCATCAACTATATCTGTCTGGAGTGGAGGAAACATCATCGCTGATCCAGAGAACGGCACTTAAGGAAGCCACCAGAGGCAACATTTTAGGAGATATGACATTAATGCACCAAACCAGACCCCATTACTTCATATGTATGCATAATCATAATCAACTAATACTAACAATTATTTCCCCATCAGAAAATAAAGATTGAAGCAAACAAAATAACTAACAGCATAAATTGCTCAAATGTTTCCAAATATCTTACAAACTGTTCATTCACCTAAGAAAAGGAGTCCTGGTCATATTGGATGTACGGGGCTCTCCAATATAACAACAATTAAACAAAAAAAAAACCAATAGTAAACGTATTCACCCACAAATACACTCAGAATTATTGTAAAATTGAATGTTACAGTTACAAAAATTTAATAATATTCACTATTCGTATTAAATTTAAATGCTATTTCAATGAGACTTTGATATATAACTGCATAACTTCATCAAACTTCATTATTCATCATTCAAAATGTTGATTAAATGTAAAGAGAACAAACTGAGAACTAAGAAACCTGCTTCTAAACTGAATAATTAGTGACCTTATTTGAATTATGTTCCTTAAAAACCCTAAGAAATAAACAAAAGAACTCAAAAAAGGGTTTTTCTCTCCTTTTATAGAGAGTGATCAGTAAGATAAAAAAATTCAAGCAGGCTACTTCAATTTATAATTCAAGTATAGTCACTCGCAGTTTATACTACACAAGAAATGAAGTAAATATAAGTAGTTTAATCAATATTTTGGTAACATATATATATTATATTATATTTTTATATATTCTGTAACATTATTGTCAATGAATTTTCCTACTCAATATCTGTCAAACTAAATAGATAAAGTAACATATATGAACTGTTAACACAACATAAAATATAGGAAAAGAACCGAAACACGATATATTAGCAGGTAGTTATGTTCAATGGTTATTATTATTTTGTAAAACACCATTAAGAATACCTTCAAATCCCTGATTATGATGTATCTCCCTTGGAGGAGAACTGTTGTCCTCGCCTTGGAGAACCGCAAGAAGACATTGATGGATACAGATATACTGCTGTTCTGTCTGTACCATCCACACTCTTTCCTTCCTCATTTGGCATACAATGCCAAAGATGTCAACATGATCTGCACCATGGTTCAAAGATTGGAGGATCCTATCAAGAGCTATGAATGTCCCTGATCTTCCTACTCCAGCACTGAAATAAATAACAATTTAATTTATACTGAATGCATTAAACATAATTAATTTCATTTTTAAAACCTAAACATTAAAGTGTAACTAATTTCATTACATAACGAAAATCTCAAGAGTTCCACCAGATTTATGTTAAATTAAAAACATCTTAGTAGTTTGTCTCTTAAAATTGCTGATCTGGTATTGATGAAGAAACTGGTTGAGCAAATGGGCCTTTTGGTCCTTTCTGCCAATCCCTGAAGATGACAAAGTGGTCATTACCCCATGTTAACCTGACTGGAAGTGCCACAATTCATTTCTCACTACAGGGTGGCTACCAAATTGTCAGAGTGAAATTCCTTGACTTTTCCCTGTTTAATGAAAGTTTTCCCTGTTTAATGAAAGTTTTTCCTGACCAATATGTCAAGGGACACAAATGTTAAAAATATATAGTTTATAACTATTTAACTTATCATACATGATTGAAAATTGAAAGATTAGCGTAAAAAAAAAGTCGGTTCAGTCTTTTTAAAACAAATATAATGTTTAGGTGGAAGCATTTTTTAAACATGATTAGGATTTTTTATTTATTTTTATTTTATAAAACTGACCTTAAGTTATTTATTTTTATCGCCTATTTACTAATACTTTAAGCACTTTATTTTCATTAGGTAAGAGTATGTAAAAGTTTATACTTGACGTTTTAATCTATTATGAAATAAACTGAGCTACAGGCTATTCTTATTTTAATGTAAGGCAATTTAGTTTTTTTATTGCCACAGAACAATAATTAACCATATGATACCAACTGTGAGGCAAGATGGCCGAGTAGTTCAATCAATGAATGATTACAGAAGGAAATTGCAGGAACACAATTTTTGACTTTGGTAGATTGTTTGATTAGTAAAGAAATAAAAGTACTAAAAGTCCCCATTCCCAGGTGGGAAGCCAGGTGGGGTGGGGAGGGGAGGCCCCTAGAAGGTCACTTTTTTCGGGGTTTCACTTATATCAGGAAAACTATCCATCCCATCAATAAAAGAGCAATAAAATATTAATATTGCAGAGTTCAAAACTGAATATTAAAAAAAACTCCTTTAAATGACCCCCATTGGCATCATACATACCTGCATTGGACGTATCACTTCCTGAGACTTTTGCCGTCTTGAGAGGTCATGATCTTTCAATTGTATTTTTATTATTAGTAATTAATGTGTGAAATTAATAATGATTTGTAGTTTAAATTTATTTACTTCTCCCATCAATTAATGGGAGAACGTAATAAACTATTAATTAAAATAAGATTTTTACAAAGTAGGAATAGTGATGTGGTTTTATAGTTTATAACAATATTGAAGGACTTATAATAATCAAGGCTGCAGCTTACATTAAAATTGCTTCGAATTACAATATTGTATGTATATAAGGGCTATAAAGATGTATCGGCTTTAACGACGAAAATATCATGTTCCATGATTCAGATGACTTTTATAATGTGATTTTGAATGGATATAGCGATTGGATTTACTGAGATTTCTTGGAGTTTTTAGAAAAAATGACTGTATATAGCGACGACATTTGAACTCCTAAAAACCTTTTTTTTTTTTTGTTCTTCCCTACCTCGGCCTTTTAGGCTATACGGGATTTTTCCGGGCCGGGGGGTGAGGGCGGAGAATTTAAAATTCCCCTCCGGCACCGGGACGCGAACTCGTACAGTATATATCATCTCAAATCTCTGTTATCCGGTTGCCAGGCAACTAGCGGTGCTGTTACACACGCTTTAGCCTATTCGGCCACCCCGCCCCCTCCTAAAAACCTTCATGTTTATATCTCACTTATCGAGGAAATATTTTATTTCATTCGTTCTCTATGTAAGAATCACATTTATAGGGCCAATTTCATTCCCACTCTTAGTGTTAAATTCATATTTCTGTTTAATAATTTAATAAGAATTCTAGGTATAAGAAAAATTCTATACATGTTGCCGAATGGAGACAGAAGAGTCTAACAATATCATCACATTAGGACAGTTTGATAGTAATTGGTTGAAAAAAAAAAAAATTCAAATATTCGGTTTCTCTTTGGCTCTTTATGTTTTTTTTGGGATACTGATCTGAATTTGAGATATAGGCAGAAACATCAAAATTTCCAAACTTTTTTTAGTTTTTTTTTTGGACATGACTCCGAAACTGTGCATTTTATCGAAATTATTACAATATACAAGGTTAAAGAAGATAAAATTTACCATCAATTTTATGCATAGCTTTTTGATATAGGGCTAACAGGTGAGTAGTAAGAGAATATCTATTCTATCACAAGAAAAATCTATTTTTGTCGGTTTTCCCCCAAAACTCATAATCTATGCATCTATTAATCCTTATTATTATTGCTTATATTAATCCACTGTGTATCAATTCCAATTTAAAAAGAATATTTTTGAATTAAAAAAATTCCCTGACTTTAACAATTTTTCCCTGTCTTCTCTCTGACTTTTCCCGGTTTTGAAAATTCTCTGACTTTTCCAGGTTTTCCAGGTCGGTCGCCACCCTGCACTACCAACAAGAATTAAATATTAACTAATCCAGGTGGGAATCAAACCTATATTTTAGACCAGACACTCTAAGGACCTTTGTCCCAAAGTTCTTGGCCCTTACTTCTATTTTTCACCAAACTCTTAATTAAATAGTTTTGTAAATTATTTTTCCTGTTAGAGTAGAAATTGGAAATACCTAAAAAAAAAGAAAATACAATTCAATCTAAATAGTTTTACAAGCAACTTATATAAATTATTTACCTGCAGTGAACAACAATTGGCCTCTGCTCGGGTGAAATCCTTTCCCTGAAAGCTCTAACAAATCTTATGAGAGTTGTCGGAGGATTGGGGACACCAAAATCAGGCCATGTTGTGAAATGGAAATGACGAATGACCCTTTGTATATCTCCCTGAAGGTGAAATAAAAAATTTAAAATAAGATTTGCAATGTAACAGAAAATTAAAATCACCACTAATGATAAATAAATACAAACCCTAGACATTATGAATTCAGTAACAGACCAATCAGGATAATGACTGTCATTGAGTATTGTTACATTTATGTCTCCATAATAGACAGGCATTGTATCATAAGGCCAATAATGGTCACATTTTTCTCGACCTGAAATAAAAAAATTAATTTTTGTCCATCTTGATTAGTTTTAAACAATTAAAATTACATTGTATTACAATATAAATAAGAATTATTTGTAATGGAATAGATTAATTTTCTATAAGATAAGAGATGTGAATGAACTGGGCTAGTATATCGTTCATGATTTTTAAATTTTGTTAAGCTTTATGTAAAGAAGACCACTTAAGCAATATTCAGTCAAAAGCATGAGCAGTTCAATTCTGGGCTGGGGAGAGGAGTGAAGGTTGATATTTATTTCGAATATTGTTTTATTATTATAAAATAAAAAAATTAAAGCATATTTTGATAGGCACAGAAATTTAAATATTTAACTATTAAAATTAAACAATTTCTTGGAAAAAAATTAACTGAATAATATTATTGATCATTGATAGATTGTTCTTTATAAATGAGAATACCTTTCTCAATACACCTAGTCAGCATAACAATAGCCCTGGAATTACTTTCCCAGCACATTCGCCAAAAGTCTTCTTTTGTCGAGTGAAGAGGTCCTTGGGTAACAATGAATTCCCTTGGAGAGTTGTAACCCTTAAAAAAAAAAATAACATCAGGTATTTGAAAATAATGATAACCTAACTCATTAATGTAAATAGACATACAGGAACGTAGTTAGCGTTGATGTAATCCGAACCTTCTTCATCATCTACAGGTTGCAATTTGAAACGGGAATGATCATAAGGTAAAATATTTGTGAATCTGTTCTTAGGTCTGTTACAAGGAAGATCTGCAAATGTACAAGGCTGTTCCCTTCCGACGAGTTTAAGTTCTTCAAATTCCTCAGAGAACCTGAAGTCTGAATCTGCTGACATTATTCTATAATGGTCAGCGAAGTTTTCTAATCTGATTGGTCGACTAATAACAAAGAATAAAAAAATTAATTAGTTGAATTTTTCTGTATCACTAGTGTTGGCATCTATCGAATGTAATATTAGCTTCAGACAAATATTTGTCGAATAAAGGAACTAGATAAATTTAATAATTAGCAAATTTAATGATTAAAACAATACTTTAATTTATAAGGGTGAGAATGGTTCGATTCTATTAAATAATTAAATACTTTTGTAGTAGACATCCCCCTGTATTTACTCCTTTATGTGACATTGTGTGAGGGAATGAGAAGGAATATATATGTAAGGTTACTTGAGCAACCTTTAAACACTTCAACTGCTACTTATCTTTAAATCAGATGTTAATGATTATTTATTAGAAAATACCTTCTTGTATTGTTATATTGAATTAGTGCTATAATTAACTTGTGTTGTAATAACGTGTAATTAAATTCTTTTACTTTAATTAAATAAATCACGTCTATAAAAGATCTTAGAAATTTAATTACAAGATCTCAACACATAAGAAATGACTCTTCTATACATTCAAATTGTGAAGAGAAGCGAGGAAGACTTTGTGGTTCATTGTGTTTCAGTCGACAAAAGAAATTGGTTTTTATTACCAGAAGACACCCAGGACTTGAAATTTCATACGTCTATATCAAGTAAGAAACCTTTATTAAATGCTGTGAATGCTATAAAAAATGTTAATGGTTATAGAACAATAGGGGTTAAGATTGATGATGACATTAAAAAGGAATATTTTGATGAATCATCTAATATTTGTTTTAGAGAGTTACCATTGGAGGAATGTCTTCCAAAAACAATTCCTTACAGACCTACAGACACTCAATCAGAACTAGAAGATCATATTAAACGATTAGAGATGCAATTAAAAATTAATTCGGAACAAAATGAAATTAAACTGCATCATATTGAAAAAAAGGCACGGAGATCTCCCGTATAAACCAGATTGTTTTCGGTTTGCCAAATGAGGCTCAGTTGAAACTCGATCGAGAAAAAATTTGTAATTTGTATGAATTATACTCAAAACTACGAAAATTAGAAGATGCGTTTATAAAAAAGAAGGAAGAAAAACTATTAAATCCAAAATCTATTGTGAATCCAGCTTTAAATTATTATAAAAAAGGCGAACCACACCATAAGAGTAATTATCAGCGTAAGCCATGTTCTCACTGCGAAACCCTCGGTTTTCACAATCGTTATCATTTAATGTCTGAATGTCGTAACAAAAATAAAACTCCAAACCAACCAAAAATAAATCAAACTGATCTCAATTTAAGCGAAATCGATCTTGATTCAGAACATTTAAACTAGAAAGCCGGGCGAAGTTAGATCCGCTGATTAAACTAAATGTTGTTATAAATGACAGTATTAAAATGAAGGCTATTTATGATAGTGGCTCAAATATAACATTAATAAATCAACAAATTGCTGATTTGCTGAAGTTGAAGTTAATTAAACAAAGAGCAGCGTTAAGAACTATCGGCGGACTTAATTTCACCTCAGCCCGGGCTAAAATTAGACTCCGTACTGGAGACATTACTGATTACATTACAACATATGTAGTCAAGAATAATAATTTCTCCTATGATTTATTACTAGGTATAGATGCCATCAAGAAATTTAAATTACTACAAGATGAGAATCTAAGAATTTTGCAACGTACCAATGACACAAAAATCATAACATCAGAAGATCTCTCTTCTGATTGAATAGATAGAAAAGATAGAAATATAAATTTAACACGGTCAAAACTTGATCAGATTGAGACATACGGTCCTCTTCAAAACCAGAACACAACTACTTGTAAGAACTTAAGAAGTGTACAACATATTGAACAAGAGGAGCACAAAAAACAGATTTCATATTTACTAAAAAAATACCAACATATTTTTGCTAAAGACAAGTTCGACATAGGTAAAGTTCATTCACGAGAAGCAGAAATAAAACTAATCAGAGATGAGTTTGTCACTTCTCGCCCTTATAAATGTTCTATCCCGGATGACGAAGAAATACGAAGCCAAATAAAAGGACTTTTGCAAGCTGGGATCATCGAAGAATCAGACTCCCCGTTTTCTTCAACTGTCACGCTGGTCTACAAAAAGGAAGAGAAGAGGAAATCTCGACTCTGCATAGATTTCCGAAAGCTAAACAAATTAGTGGTTCCTGAATGTTTCCTGTTTCCTACTATTCAAGATGTAATTGATAGAGTAGCTAATTGTGAATTCTTCACCGTTTTGGACATCAATTCTGCATTTTTGTGCATATCGCTTCGTGAGCGGGATCGGGAAAAGACCTCTTTGATTATGAAATATGGAAAATTTATGTTTAAAGTTCTTCCGTTTGGTATTAAAAATGCTTCCGCTATATTCCAGAGAATACTATCCAACATTATAAGAAGAAATAACCTGAACAATTTCTGCATAAACTACATTGATGATATTTTAATTTTTTCTCGAAATTGGGAAGACCATCTTCAGCATATCAGCAAGGCTTTAGAAGTTATGATCACTGAAGGTTTCAAACTGAAAATAGAAAAATATCTGTTTGGTGCGAAATCAGTAAAGTACCTAGGACACAAGTTTTCGAAAAATAAAGTGTCACCCGCCCAAGATAATTTAATATCGATTCAGAAACTCCAGAGGCCCTCAGACAAGTCAGGTGTTCGGAGCATTTTAGGCTCCATAAACTTTTATTTGAAGTACATAGAACAAAGTGCTGTCAAACTAGAACCATTGCATAGTTTATTGAAGAAAAATGTTAAATTCGAGTGGTCAGATGAATGTGAAGAAGTTTTCAATATGAAAAAAACTTTTTGTGCAGTTCCCCGGTCCTCGCTATATATGATATTGAGAAGCCTGTCTTCATAGAGACAGATTCAAGCTTAAAAGGTATCGGAGCAAACCTAAAGCAACCGCAAGAAGATGGCCTACTTCATCCTGTCGCTTACTACTCACGCAAGCTTTCAGAACATGAGAAACGTTTAGATGTTATTCACTTGGAATGCAAAGCCATTAAAGTTCTGGCAATACTACTTAATTGGACGTCATTTTACAGTTTGCTGTGATCACAAGCCTTTAGAAAACTTGAGGGCAAAAGCCAGATCTGATGAAATTCTGGAAGATTTGATTCTTTATTTATCCCAGTTCAACTTTGATATTATCTATAAACAGGGAAAAGATAACGTTCTGGCTGATCTACTCTTCAGAAATCCAGTCATTGAACACTTCGAGAATGAAGATTCAATCCGGATCACCAACTTAATAGACTTGTCAGTCATAAAAAAAGACCAGGCTGATAATTTTTCAGAGCTGAGAGCGACTGACCAGATTTTATCAAAGCAGGGCATAATTTTCAAAAATATTAGGAAGAAATCAAGAATTTTTGTATCCCAAGCATTTGGAAAAGAAATTATTAAAACCATTCATCAACACTATGGCCATATTGGCCCACCTCACATGAAAGCAACTATCAGACCTTATTACTATTTCAAGGTCCTAGATAAAGCAATTAATGACTTCTATAGGAGTTGCAAGATTTGTATTGAGAACAAAACTCGTCGTAGTCGTGCCATCGGCCTGCTCTCCCGTCTCAGCCCAGCCACAGAGCCTTTCCAGATCATGTCGCTCGACAGTGTCGGAGGTTTCGGAGGGAACCGCTCTTCCAAACGGTACATGCACATTCTCGTTGACCACTTCACAAGATTTGCATGGATCTCTACAACAAAGGGTCAAACAGCTAAAGATTTCATAAACTTACTCGATCCTGTAGTTAAACAACATAATATCTCGATTCTACTGGCTGACCAATATATAGGTATTAACTAAACTTTTTCCCTGAAATATTTGAGAAGTGTTGGGACTCAGATCGTTTTCGCATGCATTGACAATCCCAGTTCCAACGGATTAAACGAAAGATTGAATCAGACCTTAGTGAATCGCCTGCGATGTAAGATAAACAATGGCAATAGAAGAGCCTGGTCTACCTTGGCAGAAGAATGTGTGAACGAATACAATAATACCATCCATAGTTCCACCCACTTTGAACCATCGTATCTATTGTTCGGCCATAAATCTTCTATATCTCCACTTGGAAACACTCCATCCTCTTTAGAAGAAGACCGCAAGATAGCTTTCCGGAATTCAACGAGGAGTTTAAATATCAATAAGAAACGCGTTAATAGGAATAGAACGGAACATACTTTCAACGTTGGCGATTTAGTCTACGTTGAGAATGGCAATAAATTAAGTCGCAATAAGCTTGATCCAGTTCGGATTGGACCATTCCCAGTCGTCAGATGGATTTCTTCGTTGTTCTATGAAGTAGCCAGCGGAAAGAGGAAGAGCGTCTCAAACTTGTTCCACACCAGCAAGCTGCTTCCTTACTTCCCGCCGCCGCCTCAAGAAGCGACCTCCAGGGGGGAGGTGTAAGGTTACTTGAGCAACCTTTAAACACTTCAACTGTTACTTATCTTTAAATCAGATGTTAATGATTATTTATTAGAAAATACCTTCTTGTATTGTTATATTGAATTAGTGTTATAATTAACTTGTGTTGTAATAACGTGTAATTAAATTCTTTTACTTTAATTGAATAAATCATGTCTATAAAAGATCTTAGATATAGGAATGTGAGGTTGCACGATGAATTGTACTCAATTATGTAGTGGACAAATGATTCACTGAAAAGTCTCATATCGATAAACAATCGATGAAGAAAGAAGCTGGAAAAAGGATGGAGCAGGTAGCAACAGCTGGAGGAGAACGCTGGAGAGGAGAGAAGGCACTTGAGGCTGGGACACGGAGGCGAGAGGACTTGAGGCAGAGACAGGGAGGTGAGAGGACATTACCTGAGATGAGAGAAGCAGGACATTGAAGACCAAGAATATCAAGCCTACAGTTATAAGACTTTAATAGATTCACTTATTACAGTTGTAAAATAAATTGTTTTCTTAGACAGGAGTGAAAAGTCATTTATTTATTTAGTTGTCCCATAGGCCTCACAATTGAAGAATAATAAACCAGGTCAGTCAATTCAATCAAAGTGTATTTACTAAGTCCCACATTTCATGTATGTATTCTTATTTTTTCTTCTCACTCAGTGTCACAAAAGTATTAGGTTTCCGAATTCCCAACAACAGTTAAAACACCCACAAAAATTCTATATCCACTGCCAGGATTTTGTCTTAATATTCACGAGTGTAAATAACCTAGTTCCCCGATAAAAAACGGAAGGCTATTCGCTAATCCCGCCAAAACAAATTATTTACAATTAACTTTTATTAGGTTATTTACACTTTGAACTATTTTTTTAAGTACTAAGAATTTTTAAGTCATGATGTGGTACGAAATGCCTTCTAAGACTTCATTTCCATTCAAATTCTGATCTTTGTTGAAGAGATAAAAAAAAAAATAATTCATTTAAAGATTTGCATTGAAGCCAAGGATCATTTTTCGATTAAACAATATAAAGAAATTATTCAATTGATGTTTTCTCCAAAAATTATATTTCATGTGATAAAATTGTAAATAAATAAAAATTTTTACCTTGTTTCTATTATACTGTCTGGTAGGCTCAAATTATCAGCAGCCCTATTATCAGCTAATCTTCTTCCTAATAGCTTATGCCTTCTCAAGAGAAGTATACCAATAAAAAGGACTAATATTATGGCTGATGATATCGTTACTCCAAGGATCAAAGGTGTTGTATCTTGATCTGGGTACATAGAAGAGAGTTACATCATAAAGTTAAGAAAATTTTAAATAAAGTAATAGAGACCAATTCACCTGTTTGAATTGAGAAAGAATAAGAAGTGTCAGTAAACTTGTCTGGAGTAGTGAAAGCTCGTATTTTGACTTTGTAAGTAGTTCCACCTTTGAGTGGGCCATTGCAATATCCAACTAATTTCTTCTCACAATCTTCTGAGCCTATTGTATAGTCTTCGACAGTTGAATTTTTGAATGGATAATATGGTTCAAGGACCTGTAAAAATATAATAAAACTATGAAAAAAAAAGAGGAAATAAAAACTGCAAAAAGTATCTATGTGATCTCTAAAGCATTAAAACATATATAAACAAATCAAAGATTTCTTAAATTAATGTTATGATTCCATATTTTTTTGTCACACATTTATTTTTCATCCCACTTTCAATTAATTTTTTTTTTTTATTCCATTCTTTGTTAAGTAAAACTTTTTTCTAACTTAATGATCTTTAATACAGATTGAAGATGACCACTGGGTCATCTTCACAACAAGAAACAGCATGTTAAACAGCATTAAAAACTAAAATTTCACTCAATGTTAGGGGAAAAAATCCAGATAATGTCCATTCCATGGGTGCCACCATTACACCTTCGTAGACAAGGTCTTATAAACCAAAAAAAGAAAAGATTTCCATAGCATTGTGGAACAGTGATTTTTTTTTTTAATTTAATTTTTATTATATTATTCCCATTCTTGATAACATGAACTGAGAGCCCTTTTTAATGATAATTAAATTATTCATCTTTTATTTAAAAAAGGAGTTTATTTTCGATATACATAGACATTATATTCAATATATAAAATATTTTTTTCCAATAAAAATTGAAGATTTCTAAAAAAAAATATGAAATAATTTGAATTATAAATTAAAACAAAAGTTTCAGGATAACTATCTGTTTTATAGTGTAGAGGAAATAAATTTAATAAAAAATACCAAAAAACAAATTGCAGGAAAACTTCATCTTATATTATTTATAAAAAAAAGTTATAATTTTGGTTACTCTATCTTTAAAAAATTGTGTTTTGCTAAGTCCTAAAATAAAAAGAAAGAATTTTTATATATTGCAAATTATCTGATTGCCTTTTGCTTGCTAGAGATGTCTTTTAGTTTTTATGATTTTTTATATTTTTGAAGTCATTAATGCTATCTGAAATATTTGTATCTTATTTCATAAAAAAAAAAAAAAAAAAAAAAAAAGAAATCATGTGAGTGAACCAACAGTTTGATTTGAAGATGAAGAAAGGATTGAAATTGGAATATCTGAAGAAGTACTCTCAACTTATAACATTTAACATTGATAAATATTAAGCTAGTTAATAGAATCAAAATAACCTGATATGGAGGCCATACACCATAAGCCTGTACATCTCTCCAGCTAGGCATTTCGATTCCTGAGGCATTCTTAGTATCGTCTTCAGCCACTATTATTGTATAAGCAGTTATCTGTAAAAGTTAGACAATAGTTATCTAAAGAATATTTAATTAATAATTTTATTTAATAAATAGACAAATGACATATTATAAACTTTAGTTTAATCCCTGCATAATTGACTAAGAGTAATTTTTTTAAGAAAAAAAAATTACAATACACTTATTTGACTTCATCATAAAAAGCTTTAGATGGTAATAATTGAATTAGAAAAGAAGATCATAGGAATGTCATAAACAGTAGATTTAAACAAACAATCGCAGATGACATAACATTGATATCAATTAGGCACAGACTTCTTAAAATGAACTTTCAATAAACTTTTCCAATAATTTTTGAAAAAATAAATGATTTTAAAAATAATTTACACGACAAGTCTTTAAAAAGATGTGCTTTTTAATACAATAACTGTAATTGATACCATATTTCATGTTAATTTAATTTTTTTTTCAGTTAAACAACTTGAAAAATACTAATTTGAGAGTTTAAGGTACAAAGTAAAAACACAACACACAAACACACACAAAAAAAAATAGCCACTAAGTTAATTTTTTTTATTCACTTAAGTCTCTTAAAATAAGTTTTAGCATACTCGAGTTACAATTACACAATGGATCATAGCTCCAATGCTTGCATCTCCACCCAGATCTTTTCTTAAAACTATTTACATTATTTATGACCCATAATAATAAATCCCTAACATTTGAAAGAAAATAGACCCATAATTTAATTTTCCTACAACCTCAAAAGGTTAAGATTTGTTCAAAAATTGTTATCTAGAAATTGCTCTAATTTCTTTTTTGACCAAGCAAACTATCCTCAACAGGAAATATATATATATATATATATATATATTTGAAAATTCAGGTAATATACAATGCGTGATTACTACCATCCACATTAATGCAGATGTGAGACTACTTTTCCTATGGCTGTTCTAGGATATATAATATATAAGAAAACTGCTTACTGGGCCATTATCCTCAGAGAAATAATTCTTCCTGAACCTTATCTGTATTGTACTGGATGTCCTACAAACTTCAGTTGGTACCACTTGACTGCTAGGTTTAGGAGGAGCTACAAAATTGAAATTACCATTTAAAATTTAAATTTTATATAGAGCATCAATAATTATAAAACCTATATTCTTATATTCTTCTAAAACAGAGAATAAAACTTATAATTTTATAAATACCCAATATTGGCAATTTTTCCTTCCAGATGGATTCGGGACCATAACCAACCCTGGTTTCTGCCTGTATCCTGAATACATATGCCTTTCCAGGAAGAAGATTCTTTATGGAACCATTAAACTCATAAGCACTAAAATCTTGAGTTTTGAATGTGTTAGAACCCTGTAAGGAGCAAAATAAATAAATAATATTTTTACAAAGTAAAAAGTGACTGCATATTTCAATTCCAAAAATTTAAAACTTTATACATACCTCAAGTCCATAAGTTATTGTGAACTTAGTTATTACACCATTTTGCTCGTTTCCTGGAAGTGACCACTTGAAACTGATTTCTCTTGGTTTAATGTCAATCGGTAGAAAATCATTAACCTAGAAGTTAAATAAATTTGTGAACAGGAGACTACATGCATTATTTATTTATTTAACATAGTTTATTATTTTTAATACTAAATTACTTTTATTTCATTATTATCAGCATTAGTTATTGTTTTATTTGCTAGTTTCTCTACAACTTTGTTAATGTTAACTTAAAGTTCTTATAGTTTAATTATTATCTTTTTTAAAATTTTACAAATGAGGTTCCACCTTCCATATTGATTTTAATCTTTCATTATATTGTTCAAAAGAAAATAAATATTTTAATTTTTTATATTTTGAATCAAATTAAAATAATAATTTCTGCTGTATAAAGTATGTGACCTTGTTTAAAAATTTAAAATATAACTTGGATAAAAATCTTAAGCGATAAAGAAAAATTAAAACTGCCTATTTCGAAGCCCCTCTTCACTCTGGCATCTTGTACATTTCTGAATTCTTCCCTCTTAACCAGTATATAATCGATGGTCGACCTTTCGTTCCTGCTGGGCTCCTCTCTAGTATATTTATGTTTTTTTTTATGAGAGAAGAAGGTGTTACTTACCACCAGGTCCTTTACCACACATAAATTCAGAATTCGTTCCCGATTATCATTTAAATTGTCATCACCATGAGATCTTAATACTTTTGGCCATCTTCCACTATCGCTTCCCATTCTACCATTCAGGTCTCCAAGAATTATAGGGTTACCCTCACAGCCGTCTATTTCTTTTTGTAGGGAATTGAAAAATGAATCCTTTTCATCTGCTCTTGCACTATCGTTTGGCCCATATGCAACTATCAAAGAGTGGATGTCTTTCCCCTCAACAATGCTTAGGATCATGATTCGATCGCTCACAAATTTCGAACTTTTGATTCCTGATGCAATATCATTATGATACATGATCCCTACTCTGCTGGCTGCTCTCTCTCTTTCATTGACCCCCGAGTACAGAAGAGTGTAGTTCTGGATGTTCAGTTGGCCTTTTCCTTTCCTCTTCGTTTCGGTGATGCCAAGTATATCCACTTTGGCCTTTCTAATTTCATCCATGAGTTCGTACTCCTTTCCATTCAAACCCCATACATTCCAGGTAGCAAGTCGTATAATCTGTTTTCCGCGCCTTGTCATATTCCTTAAGTTCAATCCAGCTCTAATCTTTTATTTTTTTTTTTATTTTTTTTTTTTTTTTTTTTTTTTTTTTTTTTGTTTGTGATAAGACTTATTTCAGAGGAGTAGGTTATCAGCCCACTGCCCCCTAGTCAAGTGGAGGGGCTGCCTCCTTAGAGCATCCTGACCTGCCCCCTCATCCGAGGCGGCTTCCTAGGATTGGTGACCCTAGGGTGTGTAGTGTAGGTGACCTTGTGTCAGTGTAAGTGTGTAGTATACTGTTCTGTGTATGTGTTAGTGCAGTGTACTGAACTCGGGATTCGGAGGATCATCAATCCCCACTAGCTGCGCACTTCGGCTAGCCCCTGCGGGTGTCCTTCATTATATCTATATCTTATAACTGATGTAAAGTGATTCACAAAAGTAGATAGTGCTAAAGCCTTAATACCTTTCCTGGAACACTTTCTTGTGTCTGGAAGACAGCTGAAACTGGTAAACTTCTCCTCAATACTGTTTCTTCCATACCTGACCTTACTATGACGGTGAAAGTATAATTGCGATGGGGTTTTAAATCATTGATTGTAATGGTTTCTTCTTGTGTTAAATTTTGAATTAAAATGCCATCTGTGTTCAAATACTGAACCTGTCACAGAAGAAAACAACAATTAATAGTGATATTGTAAGATTTTAAATGGCTCCTAGAATATAGTTTCTTAACCATAATTCACAATTATTTTTGGGTAGTCCACAAAAAATTTTTGGTCTGAAATAATTATGTTAAATTATTTTTACGTTAATAAGCTGTGTTTTTGCTGTTAAAAAGGTAAATAAAATTGTTTGAATAAAACTATCAAATATATAAATATTTATTATTTTATTGCAATCCCAATGGTCCACAAAACATTTTATGGCAGTAGGCCGATGTATAAAGTTTAGAAACTATTCTGTTGACATGTATTTATTAATATGGTAAACAAAATTTATATATCTATTTTATAATGAATATGTTTAAAAAAGTTGTGGTTCAGTTTGAAATAAATTTTTTTAAATGAAAATTTAACATTACAAATATAATATTATAACATACTACAAAAAATATTCATGTTTTGATATCTCTAAGGTCAGCCATGATATTAGAGATTTATATTGATGTACCAATTATTTCCTGAACATAAATTAGGGTTTTCTAGACTGAGTAACCCTTCTCTACATAATCAACTTAAATTAATCCTCATAAAATCTGAGTTAAGCCCGTAACAAAATATTTGTAAAAATCCTTCAGATTATCGGAAACTGGAATCATTGTTTCCATGGTTTAGGGACAATCATTCAATTCATTTTTAATAATCCAAATATTTTGATATTTTAACAATACGTTGGTTCTTAAAACGCTTTATTTATTTTGTTATCAGAACTAGGATTATTAAAAATATACCTCAAAAGCATTATATTCTCCTTTTGGTTTATCCCAAACTAGAGTAATAGCTGAATCAGTAATCTGGGTGGCATTTATTCGCGTTATTGGCTCTGGATCTGTAAAAATAAACAAATAAATTAAGGAATAAAATCTCAAAAATAGTACTGAAAAAAAAAAAATCAGCAGTTACTACGAACATAGCCTATCTTGTCTGTGGAGAGGCTGTGATAAAACTTTATCAGCTACGGTCCAAACTGTAATATTGTACAATTTTCCAGGAGTGAGGTTCGTGAAAGTTATCTTCCACTCAGTATCGTTGGCATCCTTCTCTCGAATCAGCCCAGGCTCCGAAAGTGTAAACCTATATTTGTCAAAATGTGATGAAGCGAGAGGAGTAGGGGTGTATCTGATTGTCATAGTGTTCGTTTCTTGTAAATTACTCACTACTACCAGCTCAGAAAGAATCAAGGGCACTAAAAAATAAAATTAAAAACAATAATTACAATCTAATTGAAAAAAAAACTGAATTAGATTTAGGAAACTATTGAATCATCACAAAAATAATTCAGAACTTTCATTTCTTTGATTCAAAATTAGTTGATTAAGAGTATTGTTTGTATTCCTGATTATAAAAAATAGAATAGAATAAAAATCATTATAAGGCCATATGTATTCTAACCATTATAATACAATATAGAAAAATCAATGCACTCTCAAAATTATGATGCACCTCAATTAAAGAAAAAATAAAATATTATACATTAAACTTATAAATTTAATGATGAATGTGAGACTACCTCTGAGGTTATTTTCATTTACTTGGTTTATTACTGATTTTATTTTGTTAACAAACCACACTTAAAATATAGTCAAATTATGAGAAAGTTATGATTACTTGTCCTGGCAGTAAGAGTTGTTACATCACTATGAAGAGTATAAGAAACAGTATGGATATCAAAACGATACTTGACTCCAGGCATCAAATCTTCCACTAAAGCCCTCACCCTTCCTCCTTTGGCACCATTACCACTCATATTACGTGACCTACAAGGGTTTTAGAAATAATTAAAGTAAAATATCAACAATATTTGAAAAGTAAATAATAATTAAAACATTATACTTGAAGTATGTTAAATTAAACTAAATAAGCAGTAAATCTTATATCTATTTTATAGCACATATGTTTAAAAAAGTTCCAGAAGTTGGTTCATTTTAAAATGAAAATTTAACATTACAAATATATTATTATAACATACATATATTACAAATATATTATTATAATACAAATACAAGTAAATCAATAAATTGAACATGAATAATCATGTAGAGTTAAATCAGGACTGTTATTGCTTTTTAATACTTCTTTTGAGAAAAAATAAGTTTTCACTTGATAAATTCTATTGTGATTGTTTACATAATATACTGTTACCAACTTGCTAATCAATCAAAAGATCATAATTAATTATATAAAGTAAAAATATAAATAATAATAAAAGCTAAATACTTTGGCTCCATTCTTTCATTTCCATCAAGTGCTTCCCAGTTAATAACGTAATATTCAATCCTGCCTTCTGGTCTGGGGAACTCCAATGTAACATTGGTAGAATCCACCAATGGTGCAATGTTGGTGCATGGATTTGGTCCTAAAAAAAATGAAAAATAAATAAAGTTACATTGAAAGTAATTTTTTTTTTGTATTGACCTGTCAACATTCTAAAAGTGATATAAAGTTATCTGGGAATTCCTTCCTTGTCATGGGTATTAGAGGTAGTATATTTTACTCTTTTCTGTTCATTTAAATAATTAAGTCAAATTAATGTATTTTTTGAAATTAACACTTACGGACAGTATGATTTAGAGCAAGCGGGCGAGCTGATTCAACTCCGAAGCTGACACTATTCACTTGTATGGTGTACCTCTCGCCTGGAGTCAGGTCACCAACCTCAGCTTCAGTAGTTCCCTTCACTGATGCCAGTTTGTACCAACGTGGTTCGTCTTCTGTTCTATATCTGGTTCCAGAACAAAAATTGTTGATCTACATTTTTACTAATGTTATATAAATAATAATGATGATTTTTTATTAGATAAATATTACTAAATTCATAAGAGGAATGCTGAACCAGAATAAGGGGAGGATCAAAACAATAAGGATGAAATGAAGTCAGGATATGCAATTATTTATGTTGATTATGAACAAGGCCGAAATATTGACCCAAGCATGTGAGTCATCATCAAGACAATGGTTGCTGGTTAAAATAGTAACAAGAACTGAGAGAGTGGTCATGACCAGCAGTCATAATATGAGAATGGTTATGATAGGCAAGAGACCATGAATCCTTTTGCTCAGTTCCTGTTGTAGTTCTAGCCAGAAACTGATCAGGATCCCCTATAAAAATAGAGGAAAGAAGAAGAGGGGGTAGAATATCGTTTTGTCCCCAATATTTTGAAGAACAAAAACAAAATCAATAACATTCAATCTACATGATTGCATAAAATAAGTAAACTAAAATTAATTATGAAAATTGGAAAAGTTGACCAAATGACTAAGCTAACTAGAAATAGGTATGCAAGTATTTTAATAACATGCTTTAAATTCCTTTTATTGAAATTATAGTTTATATTAAAAGATCTTTTAATTTTTTCATTTAATTTAATTTTTTCCTTTAATTTATTTTTTTTTATTATTTTATTTAATTTTAATCTTTTAATTTAATTTTCTGAAATTTTTATACCCAAAAAAATGAATGACCTATGAATTAGTTAAATATTAAAGATATAGTCCGTAGTACAGAACCCTTTTTATCGAATTATTAACATCCCGCAGAAACTTCGTAAATAACTTTATCTCATCGTAACCCACAAATATTATATTTACGAAAATTTTCGGTATTGGGGCGTTTTCAATCTGGAGGTTGGTAAACTTTGTCTATTTAATTATGTACTAAAAACTAGTAAATACCCATTTTCTTTCCACATTAATCGTAAGATAACTTGAGCACAAAGTCATGAAAAAATGGGGCTTTAAAAAATATTGTGCCATTGCCAAATGAAGTCAGGAATAACCTTGTTTATTTTGAAAATTTGGGGGTGTAGGCCATGCCAAACGGTTCAATACTTTTGAAGGCCACCTTTTTTCTCGACTTTGTACTCAGATTATCTTACGATTAAAGTGGAAAGCAAATGGGTATTTATGAGTTTTTAGTACCTAATTAAATAGACCAAGTTAGCCGACCTCTAGATTGAAAACGCCCCAATTCCGAGAATTTTTGTAAATCAAATATTTGTTGGTTACGATGAGATGTAACTATTAACGAAGTTTCAGCCAGATGTTAATAATTTGATAAAAAGGTTTCTGTACCACGGAATAATATCAATATCAGACATTAAAACTAAAACTAGCTTTCAATTAATTATCTACGTTAAATATAGCAGAATTTGTTTAAATAATTTTTAATTGTAATGCTTTAATAACAAAAAAAAAAGGTTGAAAATAGAAAAATATATATATATATATATATATATAGATGTATATAGCAACATATCCTAGAATTTTATGTTTACCCTTCCATTTTTATATGAAGATTTTATCACATTTCCCACAGAAAATTTGAAGCATCGGTGAATTGAGAGTTCATCTTACTGCCTCAAACATTTAAATAAAAAAAAAAAAAATGCAATATATTCAATTTCTCTATTAAAATATTTTGAAATATACCTATATGCAAAAAAAAAATTATAAACATATGTATGAATTTATTTTAAATATAGTATAATGTAATAATATATTACATTGTTCGTTTTACAATAATTATGTTAATTATCAATCATAATTTTTATAAATTATATAAACTCCCAAGTCTTTTTTTGGGTGGTCCATTCAGAATCCCCCAAACGGAATTGAAAGTCTATGCCTATGGTCAAAATGTTGGCAAACTTAATAAACAACATAAATGACTGCTTATCCTGACTAGTTTTCATCCCTAAAATTTTAACAGATAGCTATATCTCCTTCTATAAAATGAATATCATAACAAAAACAAAGTGCTATCATTTTAGTCTACTTAAATTTTTTATTATTACCTTATCGAAAATTCTGAGAACAGTGAATCCTCAGGTTCCACCCATCTGACCACAACAGAATTACTGGTAACATTCTCCATTGTCAGGTTTTTAGGGGGTTTTGGATCTGAATGGTAATAAAATAAATTTAAATATAACTACTACAATATAAATGCTTCTTTCAATTCAATACTTAAAATGATGCTTACAAACTGCCTGAAAATAATCATGGGGCTCACTGTGGAGCCCATGGCTGATAGCGAACACTTTGATCTGATAACCAGCTCCAGGGTATAAGTTTGTCAATAATAAATGAGGCTCTGTAGTAGCAGTAACTACTGGCTCATAGCCTACAAAAATAAAATAAAATAAATAAATATCCATTATTTTAAATATTTTGGGTTTGATATATTAAATATTTTAGTGATAAAAGTCTATAATATTATTAATACTAGTCTTTCAGTTGTTTTTTTTATTTGAAATTGGAACCTTGTGGATATAAACACATTAAATCAGTGTTGTGCAAGAAGGAAAAAGTCAACGAATTCAGTATTTTTGCCTCGTTAGATTCAAATCGTCAATTTCTACAAATTAGTAGGAATGGTGAATCTGTTTAATAATACATCCCCATATTAATTCTCCAATATAACAATGGCAAAAATAATATTCATTTCCAAAATGCCTACTAAAATATGCTCTCCTAAAAAGTAGCGTATTGTAGAGTCACCCATTTCACAGAACAGTGACAATACTCCAAAATTGGTCAGTGAAATTTTGAAATTAGTGATGCTGTAGTCTGGTCACAAAAAAAAAAAATTAAAAACAGTGGTGTATATAACATAACTTTGCATGTTAACCCCAAAAAATGAATGACCTCTGAATTAGTAGCAGGTTAAATATTAATGATATCAATATCACATATTAAAACTAAAACTAGCAATTTCAATTAATTATCTATATTAAATATAGCAGAATTTGTTTAAATAATTGTTAATTGTAATGATTTAATAACAGAAAAAAGCTTGAAAATAGGAATTACAAAAAAATTGCTGTAGAATTATAATAAAATTCTGATTTTTACCTGTATTATTTCGTTTATGCACAACCTCATATTTTTCTTGTCTAGAATTAACGTCTGACTTCCAGGATATATTCAGCCCATACTCTATTGGTTTTAGATCCTCAATGACTGGTGCTGATGGTTCTGTAGTAACAAAACGAATAACATTAATTAGAAAAATTAAAGCAACAGTATATTTCATTACACACTATAATTCAAAACAAATGAGCTAGATTGGTCTTTATCTATCCTAATGCAGACAAAGAGATAAGCATAAAGTAAACTTACTTGTAGCTTGATATGTGATAACTGGATTTGACCTGATCCCATTAGAAACTGCCATGACAGTAATTGAATAATTACGACCAGGAAGTAAAGATTCCAGAAGAAATGATGTACTTGTAGTTTCCATAGAATTTGTGTCACCATTGAGTACCCCACTATAACTGACTTCTGTATAACTGATCTAAAATACAAATTAAAAAAATTCCTTAATTAAAGTTTTACTGTAAATGAAATAAGTCTAACAAATTAATAGTTTATTGTTTATATTCTCACAATGGTGGTGTAGTCTAATCATTTAGTCTTTTTAAGAGGTCCAATTTCCATAAAATATAAAAAATAAAATCTAGTAACCTATTTTATAAATCAACGTAATTAAAAAACGCTATACTTAATAACTTTACTATTTGTTTTTATAAATCTTAAAAATAATCAAAATTCACAAATGTTTAATGATATGTGGAACCCAGCTCACAATAATTCAAAAATAATTTTAAAAACATTTTGATTAATATTTAAGATATTGTGCTAATGAAATCATGATAAATATGATAGTTTACCATACAAAATTATAATTATAAAAAAATTTTAAATAAATTATAAAATGAATAAATTAATAATTAAAAAAATGATGTAGGATTTTATCTTTACCTTTATAACTGATAATTGAAAATGGGTCTAGACCCAATGATTATTCTATTAATACTAAAAAAAAAAAAAAAATCATAATCCATAGTTTCAAGAAGAAATCATAATACATATATTTTATTCATTTAAATTTATAATTTAAATTCTTTCAACAAAATCATATTATATTTTGAAAATAAAATCACTACCTATTTTTATCTTTTTACAAGAATAATTTAATGCAATACATATTACTGAAATTGGTGGAATTATTTCTTGTTACTTAAGCTGGACAGAGGCAATTGTTAATTGTTTAGTCAAAGATAAATTTCCTGTTATTAAGATAAAATTTATGATTTCAAAAATACCTCAAAATGCTCCTGATAGCTTGAATTATCAGGTTTCCATGATAACATTACGTCACCAGTATCTTTAAGTACTGCTTTCAACTCCCTTACTGGCAGTGGTTCTTAAAAATAAATAATATATTTTAAAAAAACACAAAGTTTAAATTTAAAACTTTATAATTTTTTCATTCTATGTTATAAAATTAATTGGTTGTATACATTAAACTTACTAAGTGTAACATTAACTGTGGCTGGCCAAGAAGTTACTTTTCCTGAAACAGTTTTCACAGCTACTTGGTATGTCCAACCAGGTTCTAATCCTTCACTGAAAGTTAATCGAGTAGGTTCACTTCTGTTTCTAGTTAAAGGAACCATCTGGCGATGAAGATTAATGTTGATTTGGTATTTGTCATACTCACTGAGAAAAAATAAATTATGACAACCAAAAGTTATATTTGGTAACTTAGCAAATTAAAAATAATTTTGTCATACTATTGCAAAGAAAACTAAATACCTGGTTCCATTAGGTGGCTCCCAAGAAACTGTAAAACTATTCGATGTGACCGATGCAGGATCATACTTAAGATTTATAGGTCTAAGGGGAATTGTCCTGTATTGAGCAACTGTAGGTGCTGATGTTTCATCTTCACTTACCGTCTGAACAGAAATGTTATAAGCTCGACCTGTAACAAATTATAATATACTACTTATGAAAATAGAATGACTCCACAAAAACTAATTTAAAAAAATTCAAAATAAAACTAAATGTAAAATAAGGAATATTTGTAAATTTATAAAATATTAGAAGAGCCCAAACAGTTTTAAGAAAATAATGTCTTAAAATAGAAATATAATTATAATATATAAAAATATAAATATAAAATTTATAACCTATATAAAAATATAAAACATTTAAGTACAGTTAACATGATTCATAATATGTTAATAATAACAGGCTAATGTGTGCCAGATGAATCAGAGTGATGATATGATTTAAGGTCAGCTGAGTACTCATTAAACAGAAAATGTTGTAAGCACAGTTGGGGACAATTCATTAAATAAAAAAAGGGATGGAATTTGTGACATTAGCTATGTTAGTAGGCATATGTCTCCACTGCATAGCAGTGTGTGTGATCTATGGTCTGAAAAGTTAGTGAATTGATTGTAGACCACAAACGGTATATAAGTCGTAAGTATGAGGTTAATCATAAAAAAACTTCAAAATATTTTCAATTTGAAGTGCATATTTCTTTAACATAAAACTATAATTTTTATGAAATGAAAAACTGTGACTCGGTAATAAAAACGTTTACATGCTTTATGAGATGGGAAATGATTGATTCCTTAAAGTTTGATAAAATCAATAAACCTCAATTAAAATATAACTCTACAAAAAATTGCCCTTGATACTTCTTTAACCCTAATAAAATAATTCTAATTGTATTTTAATATGATGAGATTGAAAAATTAGAATCTTTCTATGTATCGATAATTCTTTGAAGTGGATATTTTTCATGCGGCCCTCATATCCAATACTGTAAGTTAAAGAAAAACCTATATAATAAAGAAAATGATTTATTATGAGTGATAATTAATTCACTAAAAGCTATGTAAAGCTTAAAGATTACTCAATGCTTCGATCTCTTCCTATCCAATAAGTATTGAGGATATAAAATAATAATAACAGAAACCATTTGATAATTTCTTAGTATTTTATAGAAGTTAATTTGGCTAGTAAAATAAACTATAGTAAGAGTTTAGCATCAAGATCATAAAGGCATGTACCTGGCACTAACGCTTTAAACGCAGCCTGTGCAGGCCCAGGTGGCTCCCCTTCCTTCTCGACATACAACGAACTTTCCAAGGCATCTTCTGGTTCAATAGTTACCTGGAAATATCAGCAGCTAATATAAGAAAGAGAATAAACTATAATGTTGCTAATAATTACTCAAAAATACATTAATAAATACAAAGATTAACACTTAAATTGATATAATAAGCAGAGTAGTACTAACTTCAATGTATAATTATTACTAAATATCGATTATTTTAGGACTAAATAGTACAAAGAGTACAAAACTAGTATAAAAAGTTTTAGCTTAAAAAATGTTACAAGTCAGTCCCTTAAAAGCTTAATTTACTTCCTTTAAATTTAATCACAATTTTTATTTTTATAACATAAAAAGAATTAAATAAATAAGCCAAAGCCAAAGAATACCTTATAATGGGAATATATTGAGGAAGGTATTGAAGGCTGCCAAAGAACCAGAAGAGTAGTTTCATTTCTAAACCAAACAATAAACTTCCCAGGAGTATTTGGTTCTGTAATAAAAAAAAACAGAATAATAAATTTCAATTTTAGTGTATTTTGAATCCTGTACACACAATGAAATTTAAAAATCAAATTAGATAAATTAATTACTTGTAGTAAAATTTTTAGATGTGTAGGCCACGCTTTCTTTGTAATCATAGACAGTAAATAACTGGACTTGATAGGTTCCACCTGGAGTCAAGTCTTTAAGAAGATAGGGGTTGGCACTTGTCAAGTTTATTGTCCTCGTTGGTTTGTTTTCCGCCAAACTCAAGAGCTAAAATATAATATAATAACCAACCTCAGACAATAACAAAATCAATTTTTAGTTGTTATAAAATTGGTAATTAAAAAAATCAGATATTTCCTTTTTAAAGTATAATTTTTGTGACATATTTGAAATTTAATATTTAATTATAATTCTTTAAAAAAAAAATTGATGAATTTTGACTGATGTATGTATCCGATGAATCTTTGATGTAACCAAAGAGAAGATAATAAAGGGAACAATCAATTAATAAATAGACAGTAAGGTAAAATAGAATTCTTAAGTAATAATAAAAGGAAGAAATAATAGAAAGATTCAATGTTTTGCAGAGCCTTTAATATATTTCTTTGTTTGTGAAACAATGCTTTAAGCTGGTGATTTCTAGATACTTTATTTTCCTATAAATATAGTCTTGATCTAATTGCCATGATTACTATAGCTTTTGTTTGTATTCTATTAAATTAAATTTCTAAAGTATAGAAATGATTGTTAGCTGTTTTACAATATATTAATTTCAATATTCAGGTGAATAAGTGGTTAGCTAGACTAGAATAGAAATGGCTGCAGTCCATGACTAATTAGTAAAAGTAAACTTTTCATTTTCATAAATTACTTTTCGTAGTTTATAAATGACTGTTAGAAAAAACAAAAAGGGTGATAATAGACACTTCAGGGTCTCTCCACACCAAATCAACAAGAAAAAAATTATTTTGACACCCATCTCAGATCTTGATAAAAGAAGGCATGATGAGTAACCGTACCAAGAGGATGTCAAATTTAAATAATTGGAGATAGGCCGCAAAATATTGTTATGCGTTGGTTAAACTAACGTGGAGTGATCATTCTCAATGTGAAATTACAGTCTTCTCACTTAATGTGGTATTTGTAAAGTAATCAAACTAGAAACTCCTCTCCTGAAAAAAATAAATTATTTCTTAGCTACCTACCTACCCACCAGATAGTCTTAATAGTTATAGAACAATTTAATATATAAAGTTTAAACAAAGTAAAAACATTTGATAATAGCAATGATGTATCTGGCAAAAATCAAGACATACAATATATCATATTTTAATGGATATATACAATAATGATTATAGCTTCAATAGTCTTACCTTTATCTTGAAAGATGAAAAGCTTCCTTTAGTCGGTGGACTAAAATTAATAAGAGCAGACTTCCCATTTTTAACATTTACAGTGAGATTCGAGGGTGGGTCAGGTGCTAAAAATAATAATATAAATTAATAACTAAAATCAATAGAAGTATTACTACCATTTTCTGATATAAAGGTGTATATATATTTACATATATTACTTAACTGAAATAAATAAATCATGAACAAAGGAATCTTTTTTATGAAGCTATTCAATTATTATGGTTTAAAAAAAGTAACTAAATATTTGAATTGTATTGATATAATATTATAAAATAAAATAAAAAATAAAAAAAAACAGAAGTAATTAAAGAAAAAACAGACCAGTCGTAATGGAGGCAGTCCAAGTGAGCCAGTCTTTATTGGTCGAGTTTGAATAATAAAGCCAGAACTCGTACTTAGTCCCAGGTAATCCTCGAGAGAACTGTATCACATGACCGATGTCCCTGGAGGCAATGGTGGTGTTGGGTGCGGGGCTTCCATGCGGGGGCCAGTAGTCCAAGCGGTAAGTAGAATTGTCCTGGTGCAGGTTATCAGGAATCTGAATGACCAGTTCAGCTCCACCAGCGCCCTGGAAGTAATATAACTCTTTAGAAAATTTGGAACAAATTAACTAACTAAACTACTGCCAAGCTAAATTAAAAAAGGTACCAAATGGAATTTAGTACTACTTGGAGAAATAAAATTACTATTTTCATAAATATAGATGGAATAAAAAGTTTTTATATAGTAAGGAGACTATGAAAAAAAAATCAATATTCTTTTTAATCATTAACTAAAAATGAATCAATAATTAAAAAAAAAGTACTTTAACATTATAAAATCAACAAAAATAATATAAACCTCATATCCTGGCAAAATAGCTATATGGCCGCCGAAAAATGTACATTCTCTTCCCGTTCTCCTGCTGTTCCCTGCTTGTCCTGCATTCTTTCCGAAAATCGGGACTTTTTCAAAACGCTGCGGGACAAATTTTTCTGGACAAATTTTTAAAATCGGGACGTATGATCACATTTGTGTAATTACATTTTTTGTAAAAAATTAAAAGAATGCGCTATTGGTGAGTGGTACATAAAAATTGGTGCATTTTGTCATGAACATAGTTTGACAGTTTATTTCTAGGCTATTCCTCTAAACACACTCTTTGTATTATGTAATAGCTTTAAAAATATATGCATAAATAAATTGTTTTATGTTCATTTTTAGTCGAAAAGACAATTAGTTAACGATCACTGTCCAGGAACCTGAAAGTAAGAATCCACAAAACTAATATACTTCCTGACCTATTTTGAGTAAAGGAAACATGGGCCACTTCTCTAAAGAGATTTACAATAGCTAGGGGATTTTGAAAATCAACTAAATCGTAAAACGTCTAATCGGTGTAGGATTCAGTTGGTTCTAAAAAGGTAAATAATAGGAACAGGAGAGAGAGATAGAAAACAATGGTTGAGATATAAAGTTTCTATAAAACCACACTAGCTCAATATTGTAATTTGATCAAGTCATACCTAGATATAATTTCTTTACTTTGGTAAAAAAATTCGTTAACGTCGAAACTCAGTTATTAATAACTATTCTTAATTGGGCGTTTTTCTTGTAAGAGCGATGGTATGTAAAGATAGCCGAAAGACAACAACGTTAACTATCGACCATAACACCTAAGGTCGAAAATTCTCTGTGAATCAGACATAATGAGAACCGATCCGATAACAAACATCTGAAGGAGAGAGAGAAACCATCATTGAGCGAAAACAGACTTATTGTGTAAATATTGTTAGAGCAAGGGACTGAGGAAGGGATATTATTAGTTAGCTGTGTACCTTACCGCCAGGAAGGAGCTCGGCCTGCCGTACAGGAATAGGCCTCCACTTTCACTGAGCATCTTCTAAGGTCATCGCGGGGATCAGGCGGTTAAGCTTAAAGCTCAAAATTATAATTTTTCCCAAAAATTATTACAAATATTTAGTCGAAATTATTATAAATACATCCTCAAAACATTTCATTAAAAAATTTAAAAATAATTCAAGCATAGTTAAATTGGATATGATGACAGACCGAATGTCAATAAATTTTATTAAGTTCGGATAAAAAATACATACATATATATATATATATATATATATATATATATATATATATATATATATATATATATATATATATATATTTTATTTATTTATTTTATTTTTTTCGTTTGGCTCTACAGACCATGAATATCATTGTCCACAAGATGGGTCTCCTCGACCACATCCCGATTCCCGATTGAAATACACGGGGGTAGGGTCATCAGTCCTATGCCCGGTCGGTGTAAGTTGCCTCCAGTAGACTATCTCTGGTGGGCGGTGACCCATCCAATTGCTAACCACGCTCGGCGTTGCTTAACTTGGTCACCTATTGTAAGTGCCTTAGTCCGCACGGCTATCCCAGCCCTATATATATATTTTTTTATTTTTTTTTTCTATAAGCACTTATTCTAAATCTATTGGAAACAGCCCATTTAAAAAAAAAAAAAACTAAGCCATGTTATTTATCACATTAAATAAAACATAAAATAAAATTATTGAATTTTAGAATGTTTATAATATCAGAAGGAATTTGAGTCATTACAAATAGGATAATCTGAAATTAGTTACATGAATATTGCCGATTTAGTATTCTTCCGGCGAATCTACTCTGGAATTCTTATATTTTTTTTCTTACGGAGTCCGTTTTGGTTGAAATTTTAACAAAAACTTTCATGGGTCATTTTTTATGAAGTGAAAACTTTTGCACTGCGAGAGAGAATTAGATTGAGCCGTCATATTTCCGATGTGTAACACTCGAGTAAAATCGATTGGAGTCGACTAACTAAAGCTTTTTGCATATGGATTAAAATATTTCAAAAACTAAAAATCGGACCTGCATATCGTCAGTTTAAAGAAAATGTTAATCATTTCATCCTCTTTGTAACGAGCTATTATTCGAATTTGTATCTTAACGTGACGCCGGATTAGAGAGGCGATAAGGAAAAAAATAGTGTCGAAAACCAAATTATAACGAGTATAATTGAAAATATGGATTAAAATATCTCATAAACCAAAAAATAGGATCTGTATACTGTGACCGAGGAAAATATTCAGCACTTCGTCCCCTCCCAGTAATGGGCTATTATTTATAACTTATATTTCATATCATTTATCTCGCCTTTGTTGGTGTTTTTACTTCTTTCGTATGGTCTTAAGCACACACCTTAGTTTTTTGTAGTTTTTTTCTGACGGAGTACGCTGTAGATGAAATTTTAACACAAATCTATATCGGCTATTTTTTTCATTATTTTTTTTTTATGTTATCCATAACGAGGGCGCTGTCGTAGAAAATTTCATTTCTTTCAAAAGGCTTTCTATGAAGTTCCAAATTTCTCTGAATGTTGGATGTTTTTTTTTTTGGAAACTATTGATGTAAAAATTGTTGAAAATTAAAATTACTTTATACATATTCTACAGTTATACATTTATTTCGGAAACGCTATTTTGAGAGTGAAAAAAAGAAAAAAATAGCAAAAAAGAATTAATTCAAAAATATTTCTTGTATGATAACTATTGTGCTAGTTTGAGCATGTATGAAAACAATTATGAATCAACGTAACTTTACAGATAAATAGATTGTTAATTATTCCAATATAGATAAAATAAATGAATACTTTTTGCTATTTTTTATTTTTACAGTAATACTCGTCCTAGATTGAAAGTACACCGATTTCTAAATGTTTTCAATTATCTAAAACGCCCACTTCAACATTTTGTAATAAAACAAAAAGAGGCTTTCTTCTGAGAAATATAGAACTTCTAAATTAAAGGTATTAAAATCGTGTTTTTTTTTTTTTTTTTGTTTTTTTACAATTAACGTTCTCTGGGACATCGGTTTAAACTTGCCCGAGAAAAATTCGTCTTAAAGTTGCATTTCCTAACAGAAACCCTTGATTTCAGATATTTCAGTATCCTGAAATTAATTTTAGACTTATGTTACGTAATCGGCAATATGCCTGTAACTAACTTTAGTTTACCCAAATGGGATCCCCAAAATTTAATATGATGTTCTGAACATTTTAGCATCTGAAGGATAGGTAAGTTACCTATGACACCAGTACAATCAAATAGATTATTACATTTTATAGTTATCAAGTAATAATATATAATTGTTTTTCTTTTTATTTATTATTAAAACTGCACTGTTGATTTTTCACTCATCATTCTGGACCGCATTTTCGTATTTAGCCGGCAACAGGGGTAACAGCGTACAATAGACCCAGGGAGAACAAAGCTTCAACCGAGATCAAAGCAACTTCTTTGGCATAATGGGGATGTGAAATTACTCCTAAGCCACGACGAAAACACCGGATCGAGAATTCAAAATGTCTCTAAATATGTTCTCATAGATCTATAAACTTAATTTACACCATACTTATATTTTTTAAAATGGTAAATCCAATGTGGAAAAACATACAAATAAAACACAGAAGTTAACAAATAAATGGAGGATTCATCTAACAAATTTTTTGTTAACAGTAGATCATTATAAGTAAATAGGTATGAATGATACTATCAATGATACTATTGAGAACATATTTAGGCTATGAATAATTTAATATAATATTTTACCAGTCAGGAATAACATTTAATAAAAAATTTATATATTTAAACCAGAAAGGAACTTCAACACTTGCAGAGATTACGGGACTTTACACAAGCCGCAATTGAATAGCGACTTATTGGAGCGAAACTTCCTCGGAATTGGGCGGCACTAAAAGCTATGAGTGATAATATCCGATGAAAAATTAGGTAGTGAGTAATTTGGTGGAAAATTCTAAATTGAAGCACTGTATCATAAATATTCACGCGTCTTGACTGGATGAATTTAATACATATTTGATCCTTTAAAGCGAAACACGTATATATAAAACATGTATAAGTAAATAGTGGATTGTCAATGAAATAGTTTAGGAGAAAATGAAATGTAATACATATTCTTAAATAAATTAGAATAATTATTTTTTAAAGTTACTTGTTAAGAAGTATTATAATCTGTCAAAATTAAGGAGATTTATAATAGTGTTCAGAGAACACATTCAAACTCTAAGAATAATTATTTTTAGAAAATGTAATTTTTACTATACTTGCAACGCTGTCTAAACCCTCAATCCAAAGGTATGGAAATAATTATCTTCTATTTTATTGGGATAATATAAATCTAAAAAAATTATCTGAATATTTTCAAGAGGAACACCAGTATTAATATTAAAGTATTAATAATTAATTAATATAATCATACTTATTAATAATTAATAATCATTTTACAAGTAAACTCATGGAAATTAAAAAATATTTCCATCAATAACTACTACTTGAAATAGTTAATTTATTAAATATTTGAAACGTTTCAATAAAATACTCGCTTACAATAAGATTACCTCGCTTTCAATAAAATACAGCTAAGATAGTTTCTGAAAAAAATAACGTATCTCAAGAAAGTGCCGGCTGTTCCTAACAGATTTCACAATACACAGTAGTCGTCCCAGTTCACAAGCCATTACATAATAGTTATTCGACGTAAATCCAACGTCTTGTATTACTTCAAGTTATGCAAAAACTGCCTTACCCGCCATTTTCGCCGCGGGTTTTATAGTTTTTTAATGGTTTGGCGCACCTCTTCCAGCCCTTCCCGAATGGGTTGGTATTAGAGAAGTGTTTTTTTTTTTTTTTTTTTTTTTTTGGGAGGGTTTGACTTAAAGTTGTCTCAATATTTTTCAGTCATCTCCGCCATTTTGATAATTTGATTAGAAAAAAATATGAAAAATGAAGAAGAATCAGCAGATTAATGAGTTTCAAAATATTACGATATCCAGAAATAAGCTTTCTTTCTATTATGTAAAAAAGTGTTTAGTGACTTTCATATTTTATTTTATTTTAGTATCAAGAGAGTAGGAGATTACAGGAGCCATCTTATTAACTCTATAATTATTACTAATTACACAGCTGTTAATTTAATTATATATGTGTTGAGCTCCAGTAACCTCCTCCTATCCTAATACAAAACAGAGATTCACACACTGGTGTCTTGATTACAATATTGACCTTCTAAAAATTTGTACGGAAAATGGTATTCAACTGGAGGTGATAGTTTCATTTTACCAAGGTGACAGCAGTTATTTTTCGATCTACACATTTTTTCCTTGAATACGATACATTATATATAATGTTATTTACATTATATTGTGATGGCACTATAATTATTATGAAATAGAACAGGAAGCACAGTATAAAAACACTCATAAAAACAAAAACAAGATTTTTCATCCAATTCAGGTCCGGATGGTTAAGAAACAATTTTATATTTTGTGAATAAAAACTTAACAATTGGGATTAGTCATGCCGAACAAAAAATCAGTAAATTAAATTAAAAAAGGAAAACTTGAGAAAACTTCTGTATACTTGAGATAAATTGTGATTATGAAATATGAGAATATTTCAAATAAAAGGCTCAAATTGATGTTGGGCTTATATGAAGCCTGACTAGTTGAATATGTATTATGGCTACAAATTGACAATAAGGCGCGATGCATAATATAAATTTTTAAAGAAATTAAAAAGTTGTCCGAAATGTGGATTCGTTCAGTTTATTTTATGTTTTATAGAAAATAATACAATTTGAACTATAGAAATTATTTAAATTTCAGTTATAAAATTTAAGCAACGAGTAGCAGAATTAAATGAACGGTTGTATAATTTGTAAAATGGGGGTTGGTCCGACGTTAGGCGACAGGGTACAACAGGGGTACTCCCCAAGTAATTATATAATTAAATTAGTATTCGTATTTCTTCAAAACGAAAATAAAAGTAATACCACTTAAATGATAAAAAAATTAATATTTGCCATAATTATGAATTAAGGAATGGTTAGTCGGTGCTTGTGGACACACTATGTATGAAGTGTCCAAAATGTTATGCAGTTTTGTATACTCCTACCGTTCCTTCAAATGAAGTTAAATATTTTAATTTTTAAATATAAATTGAATTAATGTTGGAGAAATGTCTTTGATGTTCTCAACTTTTTCCGTCCACCATCTCATGTTTTGCCTTTTTTTTTTTTTTTTTAAATCGCCTAGCTATTAATACTACTACAGCTCAAATTTGGATCGAAGGAGCTAACGTCTGAACAAAACACGAAACCGAAGTTTATATGATAAAATAATTATGAGTTCGCGTACTCGTGTCGGGGGAGAAGAATGGGAGTAGGGGAGAGGAGGTTAACTCTGGCATCTGCACTGGCTCTGGAAAACCTCCAATAGCCAAAAAGGCGAGGGAATATATATATATATATATTGTCAAACGTATAGCCATGAAGAAGACATACAAAGCAGGTCGAAACCTAGGCAAAAAATAAATATTGCACAAACATAGTCTTTGATTGTAGCCACATCCCCCGACTATCCAGACCTCATTGATTCGTTTTTCAGGTTATTAGTTAGGATTCCATCTTAAAGCATGAGTAGATCTCTATATATTGGATTCTGATCTCACCAATGGAATAAATATATATATATATATATATATATATATATATATACCCACCCATAATTATATTTCCAATTAGTTTGATGAGAGGATACAGGTATGATGGTTATTAATTAGAACTATAATACCTGAGAGAGGGCAATCTGAGCGATCTAGTGTTAGTTGAATAACACTCCTTTGACCTACATAGCACTCATCGTGCTCACCAATTACCGCCAAGGACTTCCTCAATTAACGCAAAATGCACTGGAATTCGAATATTTTTAGTAACACACGAATTCTAATTTGATTATTTATTTAGGAAATATTTTTATTTTATTAAAAATAAATAAGACACAACATACAACAGTTTGTTTTTATATTTGTATATTTATTTATATTTTAACCGCAATGAATTCCATAGAAATTCGTGATCCTGTCGAGAAAAATAAATTAAAAAGAAAATTAGAACAATAAAATCCTAAGAAACTAAACTGACTGACTATATAAAACTATAAAATTCTACAATATTTTTATTTATCACTTGTGCCCTCTTGGGCGTCACTGGCGCGAAGTGGCTTTAAAGATCCTACTATAAACTTTTGTTAGTTTTAAAAATGCTATAAAATTGCATGGGGATATTTATATAACTTCAAGATATATAGCAGTAATAAGAACAGGGTATTGATAATTTACGTATACGTTCATATCTACTAAATTCATAAACTAAACACTAATAAATTTTAATATACTAAACATCCCAATAAATAAATTAAAAATGATTCTCACAATAACATTTTTCGGATGATTTGTTGTTTTTGAAAGCATTAAAATATACTCGTTTAAAAACAAATAAACTGATAAAATTAATGATTCGCAGAATTAATAAGAAACAAAGAAGAACTTTAATAAAAATTAATATATATATATATTTTTTGGAGAGGCAGTTTACTATAAGGCATCTTTATTTCTTGTTTATTTATTTTTTATGTTCTTCATCTGGTGGAAATGTAATCATTTGAAAAAATTTATCAGAAATACGTGTAATTCGAATCGACGTCATAGAATAATATAAGAAAAAAATTAATGAATAGCAGAATATTTCAATGGTAATATCAATTTTAAAAATTAGGTGATTTATATCACATCATTATTATTTATATCACACAATTTATTACTAACCTAAAACAATTATTATGATAATTTTGCTTCTCCTAGAAAATTATAATGTCATCGTAACATCGGATGAGCGATATTTTTCCATTACATGAACTAAATTAGATATCTGTGTTAAGTACAATTCTATGATATATGCCATAGGTGTGCAATCTTTTTATCATTAGAGGCCGCAATGATTTTTTATATTTTATTGTTTCTATTTTTATTTGCCACTAAATACACACACTCTTATACATATATTAAACACCCATCTCTCCCCGTCTATGTTATATCCGCCTTAAAGGGAAATTCTTTAACACTTCTTTCATCAACTGTCATGGACCTACTGAGGTATATCAAACTTAATTCTATTAACTTTTAAATTTTTGTAACCTTAACAATTAAATATTAATTAATGAAGAGAAGAATAGTTGGGATGGTCAGTCAAAAAAGAAGGCAAAAATAAATGAATTCTTATTTCAGCTTTCTCAATTTCTTCCCTCCTTCCTTTCATTCCTTTTCTCTGTTTCTAACTCTTTATTATACATTGTCTGTACATCTTGATAGACTTTACAATATCTCAATTTTCTAAATATCTGACTACTCCATTCTCAATGTCTTAATTTTACTATTTATTTTCATGTCTTATATAACTTCATATTTCTTTTTTATGTTTTACATTTTATTCTAAGATTCCCATTTTAACACTTATGTCACCCTTTTTGATTATGCCTACTTCATCATTCCACACTTTGTAACGGTTATTATTATTTATCTCTTAGTTCTTACTATTGTCATTATTCTAACAATTTCATTTTACTTTATTTTATTTTTATATTTTTTTTATTTTTTTTACCATCACTACTTATGTTTCTCATACCTTGTTATCTGGTTATTTTCTTAGCCCTGATGAAGGCCTGAACTTCAGGTCGAAACGTCGGCATATGTAAAAATAAATATTATCATTTATTTTTGCCTTCTTTTTTGACTGACCACCCCAACTATTCTTCTCTTCATTATCCACGATAGTCAACCATTTACCAATTATAAATATTAACTGATTCTAGCGCTAGATTAATGAACATCGCGTAAAAACGTTTGAAGGCCGCAGATAATAGCTCACAGAGCCACCTGTGGTATATTACATGTTTTACAGACAATTTTTAGTATTTTCAATTCATAAAATCAGGTCAATTGCATTCTACTACAATTTCGATTCATCATTGGAATGCTGTGACCTTTCGTAAAGGGTTCAAATGACACCCACACCCGACTGTTACGCCAATATGGGTGATGTAAATCTCAGGAAATAATATCAGAAAGTGTGCTATGACAGTTGATAGCAATGACTGATGTCTGTAGCTAATGCAGTTGTGAACGGTTTGGCAATCCCGTTGGAGGAGCCTATGAGCCAGTCCCAGGCCTCAGTTCCGGCACTGGCAGGCTGTGACGGAGGCGACCGGTAACGGTATAGGGCAGCTGAAGCTGAAATTCAATGGTTCAAAGAAAAACATTTAAAAAATAATAATAAAAATTTTCAAAAATGGGCATATTGAACAAAAAACCAATACCGTAAAAGGATGAACTCAAGAAGAACCTATTGACAAATGAAATGGAGTACTGGCGGCGATTGACAAGAATACCAAGAATGAATAAAATAAATGACGAAAACATTCGAGAAATGATAAATGTATAAAAATGTACTCTCGAAGAGATAGAAAAAATGTCCATCAGATGGAATGGAAATTTAAAAAGAACGACTGAGGGAGTGGTACCTTGTTGTAGAATACTGAAGAACGGATTGAATACTATTATCATTCCTGAAATCATTTTAGTTAGAACTAATGAATATTCATCTTATAGAAAGTTCTTGTATATACCCTGAACAATAGTAGACTGAATTAGATGTCATTTCAATGCTTGACAAAGATAAGCCTGTAAAGTTGTTTGACATGACAATGGACGAATAACAATAATAGTAATAAGTAATCAGTGATTATTTGGCGGAAGAATGTCAAAGGTTAAACCGATAAGTAGATGGGATGATCTTGTTAAACCTGACATGGTAAGTTATGTGGTTTTGTTGGGTATCATTACTGGTAATGTTGGTATCCAATCAACGGTTACTAGAATTTTAGAAAAATAATTTAATGAAACATTAAAACTAGAAATATATTTATTCTCGGAAAACAGTTCTCTCGGAATTAGGTTCTCATCTTAGAAATTTAATTCGTACAAATATTAGAATTTTTTAAAAAATATAACTATAACTATAACTAATTAACTGAACAATTTATGTTTTTTATATATCGCTTAGTTGAATCTTTGACGAACGATTTGAGACGGATCATTTATTCTGTTAAGTACAACCATTTAGTACTATTATTTTTTTTTTCTCTATAAACAATCGTAAAGGAAAAACCTAAATCACGAAAACACTTTGCTAAAACTAACGGGTTATATCTAAGGGGAAATTAAATGCCGCCCTCAGTTGGTCATGGTCTGATGGAGTTTGAACCAGTTTAGCAGTTCCTCCAACTTCCCTCAAGCACAGCGGGCCTTTCCGCTCCCAACTCACGATAATGATACTAAATAGTTGGAGGTTCGATCCAATCCTGTCGGAAAAAAATCTTATAATGGCCGCGTCGAAGTCACGTAATAGCAAGTTCATCTTCAATTAACAAATAGCACACAGTGAAGAACTTAGATATAGTCTTTTATACGAAAATTTTTACAGATTCACAACATACCATATAAATGAAAAATTATAAGGTCTCAGATACTTATATTTTGCAAAATTATCTTTTAAAATTCTCCTTACTCTAGAGAGTACAGTAAATGTGTCCACATAATTTTACATTAAGGAAATGAATAGTCGTTGGTTTGCAAGATACCACTGATGCCCCTGAACTTGAATTATTTTTGTTAGAAAGTGCTATTTATTCAGTATTATGCGTACGAGATGGGAAACAGGAAGTTATGATTTTGGGATTCTTAACAGTTTGAAAGAAACTAGAAATATTATTACAATGTTAGGATTCGGTATTTTCTTGGTCGCTACTTGAGACCTACATGTACACAGACAAAATTCAAGTATCAGGCTAAAAAATCGAGGATGGTCCTCATTGAACTGAGAACTGTTTTGTGCCATCTTGCCAATACGGAGGGACTGCTGTAAGAAAGTTATCATCGGTTGGCATAAATTTCGATTGAAGCTGTGAAATGTGGTAGGCAGTGAACATATGGAGAGGAAGGTATATGTACACTACAGTTACATGCGGTAGTAGAGGAGATACTGAAAATAGACACTATGAAAAAATTAAATCAACTGTATTATTTCATACAGGGCTGTTCATTGAACTGTTAAGTAGTATAGTTAATAATATAAACATATATTAATGTTTATTTATATTTTTAATTGTTTTATACCTCTAGAATATTTAAAAGAAAAAAAATTATTATTAAAAAACAAAAGTTTTACTAATTGTATATATATATATATATATATATATATATATCACTTACTAATCTGTTATTATATTAGCCATACCTAATGCTGTGGACGTTGTTAATGTTATGTTTGAACGCCGGAAGACTCAAGATCTAACATTGTTAATAATACCATTATATTTATTTTATTTTAGTACAGGAATTTCCTTAGACAAATAAAATAACTTATTCTATTTTATTCTATTCAGTTACATGCGGTTATGAAAACTTTAATTATACTGTTTTCTATATATAAATCCTAGTGGAGTGGATGCCTAATGCTGCTAATCAGATTTGATTAAATTTTAAGGAATTGAGAATGGATACCTAGATGGCGCAATGTAGATTTTATTAAATCAAATTCCATCTAATTCTTTCGCTTTTTCTACGAGAAGTTTTCCTTGATTGGACTATACTTCAAAGATGGCTTCTTCTGTAGCTTTTATTTCTAAACAACAAATCATAGATCTTTACGCAGTACAGTTACGCAACTCATAGAATTAATGAGGAAGCTATATCCCAGACCCTACTTTTCAGACACATTTTCTTACGATCCTTCAATCGTGTTTATTTAAAAATAGATTTCGCAAATATACCTTTTTATCATACCAGACTAAAACGAAAAGAAACCGCTCGACGTTTCCGATTACTACAGCACTTACTAGACAAACGCTCTAAACCTCCAATTAATTACAAAAGACTCATATATATGACTACAATAAGGCCTATCTGGACTTACGGAGTTGAGCTATGGGCTTCCACTAGACCATCGAATTCCTCTCGCATCCAATCCTTATAATCCAAAATCCTTCGTAAAAGCCTCAATACTCCCTACTTTGCCACAAATAAAACCATCCATAATGACCTCAATGTTTCTTATGTTTCAGATCTGTCCCAATCCAGATACCTATCCTTCTATAATAAAATTCAGAATCATCCCAACCCTCTCGTTTCTAACGTTCCTCTTCCTCTTCAATTGCTGATAACTATCCTAGGCGTCTGAAAAGAAGATGGCCCCGTGATCTCCTAACGTAGACATATTATTAGATTGCTACCATTGGGTAGTTTATCAACAAGTGTTTTCAGGTCATTATATCCATATGTTCAAATTTACTGAATGTATTTCTTTAATACAGTTGTATATATCATTAAGAAAAAAATAAAAGTTTTTACACAGCTACAACCCGCTGACGGGATTGGAAGCCTTGGACACCAAAGGCCGACTAAGGTGCGAAGGCCCGCCCCCACTTCCTCATTATCCGGGTCATCATATCGCCGATGAGACACACTACGCCCCCAGATTCCGGCCTCACGGAGGCGGTCTATCTTGAAGGAGAAACTGGAAACTTCGTCATATTGGAAGGTAGATAGAACTAAGTGGTGGTCATTTATTATTATATAATTGTAAATTAAATACCATAAATTTTTTAGAGGAAATAATTATTTTTGAACTTTTTAAAATTATAATTGTGGATTCTTAACTATTTATTCTGTTTTTTAATATTTTATATTGTTTTTTTAAAGAAGCCCCCTCTTCAAGCTCCTGTCGCATCTTCAAAGAAATTTTATTCCGGGTAATGTTATTCATCATATATAACAAAAAAAAAATCGACATCCCTCACCTCCTCATATTAATGCATGAGTAACATCTTATCATTTTTCAAATAAAAAACGTATTTAAAACATGACAAGTATATAAAAATGTATATTCAATATAAAATGCGTTTTTTAGTAGACGAAAGTTTCACATTTCTTTGACATTATTTCTTCAGTAATTAAATATATAACATAATATAAATTAGTAACAAACTAATACTGAGGGAAGAGGTGTCTTCTTAAAACAGAAAAACAGGAAGAAACAGGATCACTTCTAACTCTTTAACAGAATAAACCTCACATAATTAACAGGGAGTTTACTCTTTGCCTATTAAAATAATATTAAGCCTTCGCCTATTAAAATCCTTCTTAGTCAAAGGGAACCTTAATGGGTCACTTTCCTGCCGTAATTAGAATGTTTCATAATTATTTTAAACAGCTTGCGCTCATTATGGAGTGAATTCATGGAACGCTCATCGATTTAAGGCAATTTGCGATTATTGTTCATACTTAAAATAACAATAATAATAAAAGGCTTAGCTAACCCGAAAGTTCGATGCCGACAACACCAATCGGTATTTACACACCTTCCCCCACCGATTGCCATCCACACCCAATTCCGCCAAATCAGCCTTATTGCAATCCTCTTACGTTTGCTTCGTTCTACTATCCGAACACTTACCGGTCGGCAAAACGCATATGAATCTTTTAGTAATTTTTTAGTCACTAAATCAAACAATTTTAAACGCTCATTTTATTCGTCGCAATCTAATTACTTCTACTATATTAAACGGATACAGTTCACGCAATTCGGCGTTGTGTAAATGTTTAAGTTTTCCTGTTGACTCATAGTTAAAAATAAAGATATTAACTTGTAATGATTATTAATATTTTGAAATTTTTGAAAAGATCCTCCTGAGAAGAATCCTACCCATAATAGACTCCCGAAAAATCACTACCCATCAATTCGGATTCCGTTCCCAACATTCTACCGTCCAACAAGGACTCCGAATTGTTGACCGTATATCCTCAGCCCTAGAAAACAAAAACTTTTGCTCGAATGCATTTCTGGACACAGCGCAAGCTTTTGACCAGGTATGACACGCCGGACTGCTCTTCAAGCTCAAATCCCATCTACCACAGTCCTTATATCTATTACTTTAATCCTATCTTTCCGACCGCTCCTTTCGAGTTCGCTGTACAGAATTTTCCGACTGTTATACAATTGAGGCTGAAGTTCCTCAAGGCAGCGTCTGGGTGCCATCCTTTACATCATATATACCGCTGACATTCCCGTCCATCCCGATACACTCCTGGCAACTTCCGCTGATGACACTGCGATCCAATCTTCTAACTCAGATCCTGAAACAGCGTCCATAAACCTGCAACGGCACCTATCCCTGATTGAACACTAGTGCAAGAAATGGCGCATCAGTGTCAATGAATCCAAATGTAAACATATAACCTTCATCCTTCGTCGTAATTCCTGTCCACCAGTTTACTTTAATACCATCCAGCTTCCCTACTCCGACACAGTCCGGTACCTTGGTTTTCTCCTAGACAGACGACTAAAGTGGAATCCGCATACTAGACTGAAAAGTGAGGAACTTAAACGACGTTATGGCCAGCTATATAGACTTCTTAATAGAAATTCTAAACTTTCTATTGAAAACAAAGTACTGATCTACAAGACAATACTAAAACCCATCTGGACCTACGGAATAAAACTGTGGGGGACAACCAAATTTTCTAATATCAAACGCATTTAATCCTTCCAGTCCAAAGTCCTCCGTACAATAGGATGCTCCCTTATATGTCACCAGTAAAACCCTGCATAATGACCTTAATATTCCATTTATTCTTGATCTTATCCCAGACAAATTATCCAAATTTCATCAGAACCTTACCCATCACCCTAATCCCGTAGCACAATCCCTATCTAGCACAACTCATCCCTACAATCCTCCGCACAGGCTAAAACGGCAGTGGCCCCGTGACCTTTTGTAACATGTATATATTGGAGTTCTGGCAATGGCTAGATTTTCCACTCAAGTAATGAGTGTCTGTGGTTGTAGCGCCCTTACTCAATCTCCGCTGGCTTTTAATACCAGTGAAGTGGTTGAGGTTGAGAAGTGGTTAAGTCTCGCTTTCCCTCCACATATGGGGGGATAAGTATGGTTCGGAGTTCCCATGGCCGACTGTAAATAGTGTAAATAGGTATGCCTGCATCTGAAAAGATTAATTTCATTACTTTTTTTTTTTTAAAGATAATTTTAATTCTATTTTATTCTATTATTACTATTATTTATATTTTCTTCCTTCACTATGATATTTTATTTTGTTCTTTTATAGCTTTATATTATTTGAAATTAGCTTATTTATTTTTTATTTTTTTTATATTTTGAGTTCTTAAATATGGTGAGAATGTGCTCTTAGAACTCTACTATAAATGTCCTTTATTGAGACAGATTTTAATATTTAGCAATAAACAAATAATCCATTAAAAGTATATATATATATTTTGAAAATAATACATAATTCTATTCTATTCAATATTAGTCATTTTAAAACTGCACTAGATAAAAA